ATTATCATGTTATGTATCATTTTATCTTGTTCTATATAACTTTCACAGTTGCTTCCTGGTTTTGAGAAGCCTGACACGCTGAGCAAGCTTGAGAACTGGCCTTGCTCCAGTATTCAGAGTGAGCGAGGAATGTACCACCGCTTCCTCTCAGCTTGGTTGAGGCGCGGGGATCGGGATGATTGCAAGAGTACTTGGAGGATCGTGGGACTTGGTAAGTTTGGTTATAAGTACCTTAATTGGGGTTATAGTATAGTTACCCTAGAAATAACCCTAGTTACTAAGTCCCATGATCCTTTAAGTATCCGGTTTGCCAAAGTTCCCAATGCCGCCTGCAACTGTATCCATGGCAATGCTATCCCCCCATGTGTTGTCTGTGCTGCTGCGTGCATATGGGACTGCGGCACCGGCACCTCTTCGTGACCCGTGAGGCCCCAGTGGCAAAGCAATCAGAGGCGCCTGTCTTTCGAGACTTGCCGGGTAGGGAAAACTGTAACTTCTGCTGCCAGGCTTCTGCTGCAAGGCTGCCGAGTGTCTGTAGCGATGCGAGCAGCCCTGCACTCAGTTCAGGGGAGACGCTATTGCCTTGGTCTGATCGGCCCCGCGCTGTGACATCGGATTGCTTGGACGTTGCTTGCACTACTTCAGGTGGGCGGCCGTCGCCTTGCTCACCAACACGCTCTGTGTTGTCGCCGGGGTGCTCAAGTTGAGCCGAGTCGATCCGATGAGCAGGTGAAGATGCTGAGCAGTAGTTAGGCACACTGCCCCAAAGAAATTCTCCCAGATGCGAAGTTGTTTGGATCCTTTCTGTTTGTCCGCATGCCTCGACTGCAATTGCGCCTCTGATGCGAATGACACCTGCACCCCACACTGCAGGGTAGCGTTCTAGCAGTGTTCTAGCAAGAACATGGCATGCCCCTCCCCCGCTCTCTAAGCTTTGCCAAGGAGGTTTCGCTCGGTGGATTCGCCCACAGGGCCATGGGCTTAAAAGCTGCACGATGCCACGATACTATGATTGCAATGTACATCCTGTGAGTCCTTTGTTGCATGGCATTTGCACCGTAGTAGCAACATGCCAGAAAACTTCACGAGACGCCGCGCACAGCCGCCCAATCCATCTTCGTGGGCGCATTTTTGACCTGATCTCGATCTGACAGCGACCAGGAGGGACTCTCAGAATGCTCTGTGCGACGTGGACCGCGCCTTCTGGTCCCCACAGCATTCGCCCTAGGCTTCAGCGAATATGACAAAGTCAAAGATCTGGCAGGGCAAACAACCCACGATGCCAGCAAGCTGTTCAGATTTTGAGGAAGCATCATCGATTCACTGCTGACCCACCGGCACAGCTGGCTGAGCCGAGGCCCGACACTCCGAGCCTCTCGAGCCTGCCGAGCACACCGCGCCTGCAGACGCTCAGCTGCGAGCCGCTGTGTGAAGGTTCAAGGTTCCAGATATTCTTAGTATTATTTCTAAGATTATTTCTAAGATTGTTACTACTAAGATTGTTATTGCCATGTTTTATTACTGCGACTAGTAGTATATAGCTGAGCTGAGCGCTCCTGCCCAGGACGCGGCATATTGGCTTTCAGCAGCTACAGCAGCCAAGGCTGATCGTCGGGAGTTCTGACATGAGCCCTCTTCGATGAAAGCTGGGAAAGGCTTTTTAAACAAATGTAGCACGGGCAGTGAGCTGCCCAAGAAGCATAGGATAAGCTGAAGCGGTAGTTGCTGATGCTGTCTCCTGTTTTGATGCCTCTTCCTCAGGCTTCTCTTGCGCAGCGGCGCTGCAGGCTGGCCTTGCCGGGCGTTCGGTCGGTTTTTCCGTGCACCGTGGAGTGAAGTTTCGACGTCCAGACTCGCGAGATCCGTTCCAGAACCTCCCGCCTCAGACCTCGCAAAGGAGACACGTAATACCAGACGAGGTCCAGCATGTCCACTGTAGTGGCACAAAGCCACGGCTAAGTTCTTAAGGCAGCTTCACGAAGTTTCACTACGGATCCGCGTTTACCGCTGCGGTGTTGAAGCAGCGGCCGTCTTGGCCCAGTCTTTGCCTTCTTGACGTTGCTTGACCGCCAAAAAAACGCAGCCTTCGGACACTCGCACGGAAAATATTCCCGAGCACCGAGTTCGTTTTCAGTGATGATGCGGGGACGGTGCGTGCTGTGCATGTTCCTGCCAGCTCATCCTTCCTCGTCCACGGCTCTTCCTGGCCGCAAGCTCATCTCGCTGTTGTCTGTTTGTGTGTCGAGGGAGATGCCATCTTGTAAGACATTAGGTGCCAGAGGCCTGCCTCGCCCTTCTGTGGTTTACGGCCTCACGGTGCGGAACCTAAGCACAGGGCTTCTGGAAAATTGCGTGTCAGTTGATGCCGGAAAGTGAGTCTCTGCTTTCTTTGTGCCTAATGTTGTCGTGTTGCAAAGTCATGCTGGAAGCCTTCGTACCGGGGGCTCTGCTTCGGATGCTGCACGTGCTTGCAGCCTGGTTGTTTGTCGACAGAGCGTGGATTCCTCAGTGTGGCCAAGGACAGCTACGCTCCGCAGGTCGTGAGGTCCTTAGTTGAGTTTCCGTCAGAACCCCCTTTGTCGCTTTACAGAATGAAACCCTAAGCCGCGAACCACTAAACCCCTAAACTGTTGTGTAAACGGATACCCCTTTTGGCCCTTTCCGAGGTGTCGCGGCTTCTCGCATCATCGGCGCCTGCCGAGCTGTCCGGGTGCACCATCCGTACTTAAAGGATCATGGGACTTGGTAACTAGGGTTACAATGGGGGTAGCTATATTTCTAGCTATTTATATCCCGTTTAAGGTGCTTATAACCTTGTTAAGTCCCATGATCCTCCAAGCAGGGTCGGAGCGCATGAGACACGGAGTGGCTCGTGCCAGGTGCCAGGTGCATAGTGTGCCTGCGCCGGTGCCGGCAGAGAATGAGCTCATGCGAGCCTGCGAGCAGTCGTGCCCTGTCTCAAAAGCCTTCACCTTCGCAAGTCGTGTGGAATGAGCAGCGCTGCGTGTTCAGATCTTGATTCTTGATTTTGCAGGCTGGCAGAAGCCGAGAGGTCTAATGACTGGAGGACGGAAAGGATGTGATTCTCAATGCAAGCTATGCCTCATGACAACGATTGCGTGTGCAAGATGCGATTTCAGACAAAATCGAACATGAGCACAGTTGTAAAGTCTGTCGAGTCTCGTGCCTTCCTTCGTTAGCTGGCCGGTGAGGCGTCGCGTCTTGATGATTTCTAGCAAGCATGTAGACGCCACACTGCCAACACCATCTCCATTGCCGCATGCTGGAGATATGTCGAGCATCCAGGAAACAGGAGCTGGCCGTGACTCTTCGGCACCTGAGGCACGCCTATAATATAATATAATATAATATAATATAACATAATATGATATAATATTATGTATTCCTACTACTATACTATATAATAGAATAGAATGGAATACTTCGAGCCGACCATAGCTGGCCTGTAGCGACGCCGGATCTCGAAGTGTTTGCAGTCTCCGCGATAGCAGGTCACAGCTGCTTGATATCAACGCTTCGACGGCAGGGGCCACAGAGGACTCTGGAGATCAAGGTGAGGTCCATGGAATGTATACTACTTGTACCTGCTGTTGTTTGTGATGGCAGCCGTTTGACCTCAACGTGCCATGGCTTTGCTGCCTAGCGGCCCCAGCAGCCCAAGCGCGTGCACCGCTTACGTTGCCCGTCGTTCAGAAGGTTTCTTGTGTGTCATAGGTGAGACTTGCGACAAGGCAACGGCTGTACGCCCCCCGAGCATCAGCGACACCTGCGCCGCGCTCCAGGGCTGCGGACAGCTGGCAGCAAGGCCTGCGTGGCTGTGGGATGGGCTGGGATGTGGGAAGCACGTAGGAAGTAAACTACCCGAAGATAGCACCCTAAATAGTAGGATGCTTTTTCTAAGGACCCCGAACTGTTGTACTTCTTGTGAAACTTGTGAAAGGTCTCTGTGTGGCGGCGATGGGTGTGGGGTACTGGACCGCGAGAGACTCGAAGAGGTCGCTCGAGCCTTGCGGCCCTTAAACCCGAAGTCCTTGATTAAACTTAAAGCCAGAAAACACCAATAGCCCAAACCCCCAAAATCCAGGAAAAAGCCTTAAACCTCCCAAAAACCCTCTCAATCCGAAAAGCCCGAAACGCCCTAAGCCTTCTTTTTGCTTTTGGGCGGTTGTCAAAATTAGGGTCCTTTTTTGGGTCCTTATTATTTTACGGCACCTATTATTTAGGGTACCCAAAAAGGGCCCATACTTTTGAGAACTACCCAAGTGGGGGTTTCCGATGATAGGGGACCCTAATCTACTACCCCAAGTAGTAGGATCCTTATTATAAGGAGCCCAAAATAAGGTACCCCTGATTTCGGAAACTCTTCCGCTGTAATCTACTAGTAGTACCCCAAATTGTAGGATCCTACCCATTTGGGCCCTGCCTCGGCCTCTGCTTCGAATCCGAGGCCGAGGCCAGGGTCCGCAACGACGGCCACGAAGGCCAAGGCCGGTGGTCGGGGAGATACACTCTGTACATATATATATATATATGTGTACATATATAAATATAATATAACAGAGCATAAGAATATAGTATACTATGATATAATATGATATAATAGAATGCAATATAAGATCAGATAATATAATATAATATAATATATACTTCTATGGAGATTGATAGACTAAGATAGACATCCTATTGCACATAATTTTCTGGTGTATGGTATTAGATGTTACCAGGATCCACAAGCATGTCGCGATGATTTCTAGAAAGCCATGGAGCCGGATGACGCATCTATCTTACGTATTGTGACGTATAGTCGCAAAACATGATACCTATACTGCTGGTTCGACGTATGCAGAAACGTATACGCTCGTACATGTTGACGTCTTCACGGATATGTTTTTGCGTTTGTATGTCGTGCGGCCCGACTGGGACCCTAAGATTTGTCGTCCTTCCACGCCCGCCAGGGCGGCTGGCCAGGGTCCTTCGTCATGGCGGGCGATGCTCCGGAGCTGCTCAGGAAGGCAGGAAGAAGCAAAGACACGTCAGAATGTGAGTTGAGGGTTTAGGGGGTTAAAGGTTTAGGGTTTAGGGGTTGAAGGTTTAGGGTTTCGGGTACGACTCCTGAAAGGTTCAGTGGCCTGCAGAGTGGCCTTACACGGAGGCCAGGAGATCCTAAGACACTTATGCCGCTCTGCTGGGCTTGTTGATTCATCTTGTTGATATTCTGTGAGCATGATCAGGCAGACTTCGCCCGTCAAGATGAGTCGTCCGACAACGGGTTCTACTCGCAGCCCCGAATTTGTACACATGTTGATGACGTTTTGCTGAATTGGGACGGTGCGTCTCAGAGCTCGAAATCCGGGTGAGTTCATCGCGGTCGAGTCTACTGTGCAGAGACCAAGTGCATTCGTGATGCAGCAGCTGAGAGCCTTGAAGGTGCGGCAGCTTTTTTTCAGCCTTGTTGTGCCGATGCCAAGGACAATTTCATCGCAACGCTGACGAAGCATTATGCGGAAGTCTTTCCTCTATTTCCAAATGCAGCTTGCACAAATATGGAGCTACGCTTTGCTCAGCCACCTTCACTTCTTTCAGCAGTTTCAACCACTAAGGCACGAATTCTTGACTCCCAGCTGCACTCGGGCGTGCATGGACTGCAGCTTCTCAAGCGCAACTGCAAGCAGTCACCGGGCCAGAGGCACTGACTGAACGGAGCTACTTACAAGATTCAGCAGGCAACCGTCCATAATGAACTTCGATCAAGACCGGCTCCTGACGAGTTATTCAGTGCACAGCTTTCGTATTCAGAAAGCTGCGATGGATCGTGCTAAGTGCATTGCATTTCGTATCTCAGGATATTTGCTCTAGCTGGATTAGCCACTATCCGACGGAGAAGACATGGTCACATGCCGCTGGGCCAAGTGTGACGGAAAGGGAAGCATGCCGGAGTCGAGGTGTTCCTACTTTTCAGGCAGGTCTGCTTGCACAATCCCAGGTGTCCATCACTGGCATGAATGCAACTCGGCCAGCACATTCTGTTCTCTTATGTGTCAGTCGCAGATGCGATCGAGGAGTATGAGCTGGCTCAGAACAAGCAGGCGGACGACTACACGGCAGCTGGCCTGAATGAGGTTGAACGACTTGGCGCGTGCCACCAGAGCGTAAAAGCACTCCAAGCAGACCTCTTCCGTTTCCCGGTTCAGTGACTGTCCAGGTCCGGGACCTGAACGACAATCCCAAGCTGCCTTACGATGACTCGAAAAGCGCTCAGATTCAGCCAAGCAGTCAACATGACTCGTCGCGTCCTGCAAGCCCGGCTTGGTCACCCTCTGTAGGAGTTTCGACATTGTGACCTGCACGGTGTCGTTCGATTACCTGAACAAGCCCCTAGAGGCAGATCACGTAGAGTTTGTTCCGCTTCCACGTCGGATTCCGGGAGGTGATGAAGGAGGTCGGCCGAGTCCTGAAGCCGGGTGGAATGGTCATCCTCTCCACCAGCAATCGATGTTTCCCCACCAAGGCGGACACGCTTGTCGGTTGCTTTACTTCGGGGGCAAGCTGGAAGTAGGGAGTTGTTCATGAGACAGAAGACGAAGCAGTTCGTCCCTCGATGCATCTGAAAGCCGAATCGTAGGCTATAGGATGGGTGTTCTCAGCGCAAAGCCATGACTGCTGTGGCAACGGTAGGCAGTGAATATCTGGCTGCAGACTGGTGATTTGGAGCACGTGAGGATCTCAGAGGGTCGGCGGGGCTACGAGTTAATTTGTGATGATATCTACAGAACATCACATGCTGTCGCATATGTTAGACATGCTGGGCCCTGGGCTGCTGGGATTCAGAGTTTCTTGGGGCTTTGAAACATGACCAAAAATCAGCATGTCCATAATCGTTGGGCTTGTGACTGACAAGGTGCTCATCTACGGTAGCTACATGCCCCCCGGCTGTTTGGGCAAGCTATTGGAGTGAAGCCGCTGCAGTTGGCCGACCGGACCGTGCGCCAAATACTGGACCTGAGGCACTATGCCGGCTCCTTCGAGGAGCCTGAAGCTTTGGCTCCTTGATTGCCAGGGCAGAGGCGGAGGGCTTTGAGGGCGTCAGAGAGGGTGAGGCTTTGAGGGCCTTCAATGACGAGAAGCGAGCCGGAGCCGTGGTCTAAGGACTTGTCAAGTCCCTTGTGCCGCCTTGGATTTCAAGATCCAGTCTACGTCATTCGAGCCAAGACGCTCTCCTGCAAGCGGTTCGCTTCAAGGAGCGGTTAAAGGTTCCCTGCAGCCGAAACGAAACCAATTTGAGGAAGAAGTCGACATGACTGAGTCGGAGCCCGCTGAAGTGGCTACTGCAGCCTGAGGAATTCCAGGTAGTTAATTGATTGTTAGCACTCGGTGAGGCGTATCCCTTTGAAAATTTGATCAAAGCATGCCCTGAGGAGCTGGATTATGAGTGTTCTCCAGGGCCCGTCGGTTTTCTAAACTCGGGCGCCGATATGCCGCGCATCGTTTGTTATTCATTTTCCGCACCTCGAGCTTGGTGCGCATTGCAGACCATCGAAACCACGCAGGACATGCGCGTGCTTGGACACCAAAATTGCATCGAGCCGACTGCGTAGTCAGACCAGCGCATGCGGAAACTGCCAAGAGCCGCAATGAGGCCGCAACTCGTGTGCGCCGGGCCACATCACCCTCAGGCTCGGCATTGACACTGCAAGATGACCGCACCGCTGCGCACCGCATGTGGTCGCACGAAGATGCGGCGCCAGGTGCAGCTGCTGTCGCGGCAGTCACGGCGGTGACACCAGCCACAGCTTCGGCACGGCTGATGCGGACGGCACCGCAAACTCCGAGATCCGGCAACAGAGGCAAGTCGAAGTGCGGCTGGTGCGGCGGCTCGTGCGGCGATTCCTGGCTTTAAGACAGATAGCCTCGTGCAGGCACTCAAGTCGCTCCTCTGGTTCGCACTTTGAGCCCTCCACCTTCGAGTCCTGCACCTCGCCGAAGGGGCCCAAAGGGCGCCACTCAGGCACCGCACAAGCACAAGCTTTCTCGGCCCAGGCGACTCCTATGGTGCACATGAGGCCTTTCATCCAAGCTGTCCCAGCCTCAGTTCCCTGTGCTTCCGAGGGCCAATGCATCCATGTAGGCAACATCCTGCGTACGCTCGCAAGTCTTTTTTCGCTCTTCCTGCAAAGCCACGAGGCTTCGCCCACCTCCCCGCCGACCCCTCGAGTCACGAGTCGTTGCCTCAGCGGCATCTTACTTAGGCCTGTGGTGAGTTTTGCAGAGCCAGAAAAGCGTGGACTCGCCCTAAATTGAGTGTTCAAGGTCCGGCACCACAGGTGGCTACTGCAGGTGGGCCTCGCAGCATGTTAGCATTTCTTCACGGCGTGCCTTTCTGCACACTTCGGTCTAGAAGCAGGAACTGCAGTCACGCCGGCGTTCTACACAGCAGAGGCTGCACGTCATCCTTGGCTTGTGTAGCTTGGCGGGCCATCTTTGCAATTCTTTTTGCGTACATGAACAGGGACGCGTTGTCCTACACTTCGGTAGACTGACGCGTAGTGCTGCAATGAACTTTGCGTGCTGTGTCGATATGTTTGGCAGGCGGCTGCTCTGATGGAAGATCGGCCCGGAGCTTGGGTAGCCACTTAGAAGCTTGACGTCTGCGCTTTTGGAGTCTTGATGGGGGTTTGCATTTGCATCTTCGGGGATTCTGAAGAACAAACTCGCACCACGTCCTGTAGGCGTCCAACGGCTGGCACTCGCAGTGCGGCTCTTTCGGTCCAGCGCATTCGCGGGGAGGCAGGGAGCTTGAGGACACGCTTCTGACTAGTTTGACTGGCCATGGTGGAAGTTTCTCAGGATCTGCCACTTACCTCGGTTCCACCACCAGCATGGGTTGCTCCGCTGGTGCGGGGCTCAGCAGCAAGCATGTGCCCAAGATGATTAGGCAGAGATATCATATAATATGCTATAATATGTCATATAATATATTATCATATACTGTATTATGTTACAGTATATTCGATAGAAGACAACTCAGCTGGCCCAAGCCCTTGCTCCAAAGCAGGCCACCGCGCCCACAGTTCTGGCAGCACGGGCCCCGTTCCGCTTTGTGCAAAGCTATCTGGGAGTTTCCGAAAACTAGGGGTACTTTATTTTGGAGTCCTTAAAGATCCCACTATGTAGGGTACTATATTAGGATTTAGGGGTTTAGGGTACTATATTCGGTTCCCGTATTTTCGGCAACTCCTGTCTATTGCACGGATTCTTTTTTCTCAGGTTCCGCCGACCTTAGCTGCGAGACCTGCCCAGACTGCTGAAGCTTTCTCAATGATGCAGGAGCTTCTCTTCTGGTTCCGTATGGGGAATTCGAATTCGCGGTTGGGCCGGGTGGTTTGTCTTGGCTCCACAGCGTGACATTTCTCGCAGGAGTCCGCGACCACACCGTGCCGAGCAGTGGTGCGAACTGCCTGCAGCTTCGAGCACCATAGGGCTTTTGCCAATATAGCTCAAGCAGATGCGTGGGAGAGTCTGGCTCAACCGTTCATGCGATTGATCTGTTGCAGTCGAGCCAGTCCACCTGTTCGTGCACCTAAACGGTGGCAACGCAGCAGTAAGCCTCACACCTTTCCACGTGCAGTCGCAGACATCGCAGCAGTTGGCCATGCCTGCGCTCCCCGCGCTGGGCCTCCTGGCGACTGGTGGCCCGATGGCGTTTGCGCATGGGAAGTGTGGGCCATGACCTCAGCTCCACGATATTCAGCCTTGCCTAAACAAAGCCCAAGACTCCTTAAAAACCCTCAAACCCCCTCAAGTCCCGAGGACCGTTTCTTCTTCTGATGAGTCTGGGAGTGGCATGGAGGATGCCTCGACGTCTGAGATCTCGGATAGCGAAGTGTCAGACTCCAGCAGCTCCGTGTCTTGGTCGAGACGTCCAAGAAAGCTCTTTAGGCCCCGGGTTTAGGGTTCTGTTTTAGGGGTTCATGTGGGGTTCAGGGTTTAGGGTTCAGCGCTTAGGGTTTAGGGTTCAGAGTTTGATTTTCTTCTGCTGGGGCATGAGGAAATGGCAGTCAGCGCGACACGGACGGTGATGACGCGAAGTGCAACGAAACTAGCTCTTATGAGGCACAATCTTACCAACGGCGCGGGCCTCTGTACATGTGCGGGTGTTGCATTTAGTAATCCTGACATGAAGGGCCTGCTAAACGTGAAATGACAGATCAGAAAGCTGTTCGCGGCAAAGGGCCCCTGCCGGGTTGGCCGAGTGTTCGAGAAAGCACCGCAAAAAGTCGTCTGAAGAAGATCTTCATGCCGTGTTGTCCCCAGGTAGCCTTGAGAGCAGCAGATAGCCACAGCACAATCGCAGCATGATGCTAAATGGGAGTTTCCGAAAATAGGGGACCCTAATAATAGTGCCCCAAATAGTAGGATCCTTACTATAAGGACCCTAAACTAAGTAAGGTACTGGTACCCCCAATTGTCGGAAACTGCCAAATTCGAGAGCTTCCCAGGTCGGCGTGTGTTGGGCAAGACGCGCTGCCGAGTGTCGGGTTCTCTACTGCTGTTGGGGCTGATTTGTTCCGCCTCTTGTCGAGCAAACCAAGCTTTTCTTGCTTGACACCCTACGTTCTCTCGTGCTGAGTCATGAGTTTCAAAAGGCGTGTGTGATCTTCGAGTTCAGCCGCCAAGAGATCCTGGAGGAGGCGAAGGAACTGACCGCGGCGAAATACTTCGACCAGGCAAGGGAGAAGCCTGAGATAGCGGTTTAGGGATTAGGGTTCCCTAAACCCTGAAACCTAAACCCTAAACAGTAAACCCCAAACCCTAGAGTGTAAACCATAAAGCCTGGCACGTGAGATGCGAGTTTCTTCCACGTTGAGGCAATCTTCGGAGTCCTCCTGTATCTCTTTCAAATCGGCTTCGTATGCCTTGCTCCCCTCGCGGATGACATTACCCTGACGCGACTTGCGCCTCAGCCACCCCAGCATTTTGATAGCTTGTTTACGATTGCTGATTACTAGGGTCTACAGTAATTGCTACTTGCTGTTGCTGTTGCAAACTGGTTACTATTTCTAAGGCTTTCCGCCGGTACGCTTTGCTTTTGCGAATTACTCTTATTGTTGCGGGTAGTTGAGTTGCTCTGTTGACACGCTGAAGTGGTAAGGCATTGATGCAACTTGGTCTGGTTGCGATGCTGGCCGAAGCTTGGACAAGATCAGCGCGCGTATCATCGGGTGTAGGTGATCCGCATAACCCAGTTCAATCGGGCTGAGGCTCGTCGTCCAGACACAGTACTGCTTAGTAGCTGATTAGCTACTCCCTTTGTCTCTTTGACGCGAGCCGCTAGCAGAGCAAGGGCGTGCGGCGGGGATCTGGGCTTTTGAGGCTGTCTTCCTCGTGGGACCGACACTGTGGCAAACCAATGAGAAGCGGAGAACTGGTGAATGCAGTATGCTGCTTGTCGAAAGCTGACGTCCTTGGCCACGCAGTAGTAGAGCCCTGGTGGTGCAAGGTACGGTTTTGAAATGCCAACTATTGGCTGCGAAATGAGCCTCGTTCAGGTCTGCTTGTGCCGTGGATGCAGTGATCTTGCTGTGATGGTGCAGGCGCAGCTAGTCGACCGCTTAGAGACTGCAGCGTGCGGAGCCTTAGGCGAATGGCAGCACTGGCATTCGTCGTCGTGGCGAACTTCCTTGTTGGTTTGCTTCATGATGTAACACGTATGCAGAGGAGCCATGATTGCACGCTGTAGCCTGCAGGGAATTCTTAATTCAGGCGCATGGGTACAGCTAACCTGCGTGCTAGCCCGATGGAATTGGGACACCACCAGGTCGCACACTGGCAAGAGATTGAAACCACATTCCAGCCTTCTCCAGCCCCTGACTCTGTCAGGATGATGTGGTTTATCATTTCGCTGTTTCTGTCGATTGAGACTTGGTTGGGACGATGATTTGTGAGAATGCTTGGGAAGCGGTTTCGTTGGAACATGAACGGCTAGGTCCGGTTTGCGGGAAGAGCGGCTTCGGAAGAGCGGCAGTGTTGCAAAGTGACATCGTGTGCAGCTAGAGGGCCTACAATCAACAACTATTCTGCAGTGCGGGTGCCCACAGATCCTTCATTGAATCCAGCTTAATCCGTGCTTGTATGCCTAGGAAATCCTGGCTGTGCTTGTCAAATGCATTGCAGTGACTTGGCATAGTCTCAGCAGCATTCCTTGGATGATTTTCCGCCCCTTTTCATGAGTGCTTTTCAGAAGGTCGGTGTACTTATCCAGAGAATCGACCCGATAAGCATGCGCCTGGTCGGTATGATTCCATCAATGGCCATCGCGCGCACGAGACAGCTCCGCAGCAGCATTCAGGCCGGATGTAGCGTCATGATGCTGGTGTGTGTGAGGCCTGAGACGTGAGACCTCAAGCATCATTGACGGTTTTTTCGCGGAATCGCAAGCACCTCTCTGCCTGTGTTCTTGCTCGCCGATCATGTGTGTTGGAGATGAAGATCCCCAAATTCTTCATTAATTCTTCATGAATATGAGAGCATCGGCAGAACCACGGGCAGGGCTCTGTTGCCAACTTCTTCTCTTACCGGGAGAACCGCGCTGCAGCGGCGGGGATTGCCGGTCTAGTGGGCAACTGCTCCATCCACGAGGTACATCTGCAGTGGCTGCTCCTGCGCACTGGAGCGTACTTGATGCATAATATCTCCCCTTCAGGTCATGACTCAAGCCAAAAAGCGGTTTCGCTGTGTGGACTTCTCCAGGCGTCATGACAAGTCTGCTGTGCTCCCAACACGGTTTCCTCGCTTCAATCTGCCAGGCTTAGTCAAGACGAGCTGGCAAACAACAAGCCAAGTCGGAACCCAAGGCCCTCGGTTTTATGCGGGAGCGGAGATGCAGAACAAGTTTCCTAGGTCCACAAGTCTTCCAGCTCTCGCGCGGCTTCAAGCTTGGAACATGTGCCTCGGAACTGTGCAGCCCTGCATAAGCTTCCTCAGCTTCTTCTGCGGAGTTGCATGCCTGCAACATCTGCTCGATGCAAGGTGATGCCTTCGTCTCCCACTCTTGGCATGATGATGCTCCTGCTAAGTGGGTGCTTCGCCATTGACTGCTACGAGTGACCATACATGCCAACAGAGGTTTCGCAAGCTGTAGCCGTGACCGGGCATCGTTTTTGGCACTGTGCCACAAAGCTGTTCAGCGTGTCCGATAAAAGTGCATCAGGAAGCGCTGAGCTGGTGGAAGTCCAAGTTCGAGGAGAGCAGGCATTGGACTCATCACCATCGAGTTCGATTCCTAAGCACCGAGCTTATCCCACCCTTTCTCGGCAAAGGCAGCGTGCTCCCAATATTTGGTTCGACAAGTGCTGCATTGACCTGCTCTCAGTTGCTCTAAAGCTGTAAAGGGCCTGCAAGCGTGGCTTTCAAATGCAAGGACCAGAACGACATTGAGGCAGACTTGCGGTGTCACTTGGACAAAGGGGGAGACACCCCAGAGGTTTTTCTGTTAGAAATATAAGTTCCCACCTTAGAGGCGACAAAAAAGGCGCTAGGCTTCTGCGCCTCAGCTCTAGGTCTGCCCATCTTCTTGAGCGGCTGTTCCGAGCTGGTCGTCTTTTGCGGCCCTACGTATCTAAGAGCCTGGGCTGAAAGAGAGGGAACGCTACTCCGAAAGGCAAAAAGAGGGCTCATGACTTCTCTTTCCATCTTATTCTCTGGATCTTGCTCTGTATGAGGTCGCTTGTGGTGTATCGTCGAGCTCTTCACTTTTGCTTCTCGGCTGCCTTGTCGCCCCGAAGCCGCCTTACTGAGCTCTTTGCAAGGTTCATATTGGAGGCAATCTTCACGAGATCAACATCATCCCTGTCTTGCGACGTGGTCCCTCAACTGATCTTTCGTTTTACATTTGACGAGTTGCCCTTCATCACTTTGCATGTCGGGTTACCGTTGCCGTGCTCTTGATGGCTCTGCAGGCCATGAGCACGAAGATCGGCAGAAGCTCAAAGCGTCATTCTTGAACTTTGACGTCATGGATTGCGCGCCTTCGGCGTAGATATTCCCCTAAACCCCTAACTTAAACCCCTGAACCTTAATCCAGGCATGAAAACCCACACAAACTGATTCATTTCCTTCCCAGGACTGCTTCAACCAGGAAGACAAGGAGACCAGGGCCGAAGTGGACTCCAGAATTCATCATCAGCGTCATCATCATCACGAGCTATGTCATGGTTTTGTTGTTGAATTGTCGTTGTTAATTATCATCACTGCCATTCTTATTGTTATGAGTGTCACTGGTATTGTGGCTTACATCTTTATCTTTTGACATTGTTAATACCATGATGAGGAGTATTCTTGAGTTGTTTCATTGCTACAAAATACGCGCCGTGTTACATCATTCATATTACTATTGTTATTACTGTGAGTTTTATTGTTATTCTTATTCTGACCATTGTTGCTATCGGTTTTGCTACTGTTTTATATCCACTATTCTCAGTTCTGTTGTTATCATTATCATTGTTATTGTTGTCATTATTGCTAGTATCGCTATTTGTAGTTTGCTAATGACTGTTGTTCAAAGTTGTTCTGCTTATTATCACTAGTTCTTTGTTACAGTATTGTCATTGCTGTCGTTAATATTGTCATTCTTACTATTGCTACAGTTGCTAGTATATTTATTATAACTATTATTGTTACTATGGTTGCTGCTGCTGCTGCTACTTCTTCTTCTACTACTACTACTGCTACTACTACTACTACTACTACTACTACTACTACTAGTAGTACTACTACGACGACGACTACTACTACTGCTACTATTGTTATTGAGTTTCTAACGTGTATTCCCCGGAAGCTGCTCTCTTGCTTGCAGGCTCTATGAACGTAGCATGAACGCAGCATTGATGCCCACCCAGATTCAAGACACGGCACTTGAGTAGTAGTCAAACTCACAGAGTACGGAGGAGAAAATGCTGGACATCATCCAGACTGCTTTTGGAGATCTGGCAAAGTTCAACGATGCCGTGAAGGCAATTCTGGATGATATACAATGGACAAGTGTCTTTGAAGAGGAGCGTCCCTCGTCCTGACAAGATGCCTTTGTTGCCTTCGGGGTTTGACATCTCGAGATAAGGTCAGTGGAAAGACCCATTCTCAGAAGTGCCTGCAGACAGCCCTGTGCCTTCTGTCCCTCCCGCCCGCAAATGGCGTTGGCCTTGAGCCTGGCCAGGGGCGGCTCTTTTCTTGTTACCCGCTCTTAGTGTTTGACAAGGGTTTAGGGAAGTGCTGCGGGACTATTTTGTCCGGCCTCGAAAATCTCGCAAGAAGTTGTACAGGCGCGGCCATAGACCTAGCGGATGGTTTGCACAGCCCTTTTTCCTCACCCATGACAGGGCAGAGGATTCTAGGGGTGGAATTCGATGATTTGAAACAGACTGCGAGACCTTGGCGTAGCAGCTTGCAGCCTCTAAGTGGCTCTCTCGGCTTGCCACGGCTCTTTGCACACCTTGCACACTGGGGCCTGTAACCCAAAGAGTCCAAATAACTTACCTGCATAATACACAGAATATTGCAGTGTAGACTTCTCGAGTCGAAGATGATTTGGCACCGTTCCTATGCTCTGTCAACAGAGCTTAGACGGAGTGTCGTGTGTATATATAGATATTGTCAATATTGTTATATATGTATATATATACACACATACTCACACACTTTTTGTGTTTTAAGATTTTCGATTTGGGTACCCAGGTCCCCAGACACGTGGCGCACAGCGATGCTCGGGGCTCCCGCTCTTGAGCCTTTAGGCCAAGTGACTTCAGCTCGCTTGTCCAGAGCGCCGAGAGCCAGCCTGCGGACAAAAAATAGCGTGACTTTGCCACTAATATAGGGGCCTGAATAGTTATAATAGAGTTTAAGGGGCCTTTATACTATAAATATTTAGGACCCTTTTTTAGGAGAGGTCAGCCTCCGAAAGAGCAGAATCGCGCCTGCTTTTTGTATCTTTTTGTGGCCCGTCAACCCGTCGCACGCAGGTTTCTGATGTCCCGGCCGTCTGTTCTTGGAGTCGTGCGGCGGTGCGCCGTCTGCTGGGGTTATGGTGGTCACGTGCCGGACTTGCATTGCGCCCCATTGCTCGAAAGGTGCACACTCCGATACCCTCGAGGCAGATAATTCCAGGAGCCAGAGAGTCGGAAAACCGTCGGTGCGTGCTAAGCTGGTACCAGTAAGTCGAGGTCTGCGCCAAGAGGTGAAGTGTAGCGCAGAAACCCAGGAGCCAGCTGCACGGATCCTGAGTGCTTGGAGGATCATGGGACTTAGTAAGTAAGGTTATAAGTACTTTAATTGGGGTTATAAGTATACTTAGCCTAATTATAACCCCATAGTTACTAAGTCCCATGATCCTTCAAGCACCACAGCCTATTGGTCACAAACCGAACCCCAAAGAAGCAGACAGCGGCTCGGGGGAGGCAGAACACCGGCGGTCGTCGGAACACCATCCGAATTCGACAAATCGATTCGCGAAAAGGGCAAGGAACCAGCAGGAACCTTCCAAGCGCAATAAAGCACCAGAATACCTCCTGAGAGTTGGAGCTGTAGCGGACTTTGCCTGGGAACAGGGGGGTCAGATCAAGATAGCTGACCTCACCACAACCCGGCGCCAAGATCCAAGTCACGTGCAGAGCAGAAACTTGCTGCAGGACCCTGGGCCAAAGCGTCCGCATCCCATTTTGCGGTGCTGCGGAGTGTGTGAGAGTGGAAATGAGTGGAATCGGGGGCCAAGGCCTGCCGCAGACCTGTCGCCGACGGTCTCTCCGTGGCTCTCACCGAAGGCCGAGGCCTCCGCCTAAATCCGCATCGCTTGGTGCCAGCATAATGTGCCAGCTCTTGCCTCTTTCGTAGGACTTGCCATGCCCATTTCAGCCATCCGAGTCGCGAGCCCAGTGATCAGGCGGGCATGGGGAGGCTTGTGTAGGGTGGGTGGGTGGGCCTTAAGGCCCCTAGAGGCCCCTTAGAGATTCGGCTCACAGCAGCCCATTCAGGGAGGCACGACTGTGCATCCGTGCTTGAGCTTTTCGGTTTTTCGCAGTGACAAGAGCCTGCTCTCATCGCAGGGCTGATGTGACTTCCAGCAGCCGCGCGTGCAAGACCTGCTTCCTTGCCGGACTTTCTCGGCAAGTGTCGCAGTGATCTCTTTTGGAGCAAACGAACCTTTCTGCAGGCCCTGCCGGGGCATTTAATTTTCTTGCCTTGCGAGGCCGTGCGCCATGTAGGTCGAGTAAACCCTGTGGCCCCACACTTTCAGATGTCACAGAGAAGTCAGTATGCCGGAACGCTAAGTCAAGAACTGATGTGAGGCGACAAGGGGCTTGACATTGCTTGACAATTAACTCACACCAATCTCGATGCTCTTGTAGCAGCCATAGCTGTGGATCATAGGCATGGCTTGCTTAATCTTCGTGTAATTTGTTCGTGTACTGAACAAAAGCAGCAGGAGCTATTTCACGAACCACGTTCAAGTTGCAGATTGGTTTGGGTCGTGCTGGTGTTGCCCAGCATTGCAGACGTTCAACCTCACGCATTGCCATCTGTGCCAAAAGGCTGGCAGCTGGCTGTGCCCAGTAGGAGGGCTAGCGAGGACAACGCTGACTTCGGTGGTCTCCTAGGGCCGTAGACTGCCTGTGTAAGCACGACTCGGTAGCGGTTTGATATCTTCGGCTATCGGGGCTCGAGCCTGTCCTCTTGCATGGCCAAGATTTGGTGGTCGAGCTTGTGGCAGCGTAGCGATCGCCAAAATCTCACAAGCTGGAATTTCTGAAATGCTACCGACTGGGTGATGTACCCTTCCGTTGTAGGATGTTGTAGGATTCCAACCACGAAAGTCTCTCCTGAAATTCTGGCCTCTGCAATCAGCTACCGTAGACATCATGTCCGGAAGTGGTGGACCAGAGGGAGTGCCGCAAGACATGAAAGCGGCAGAAAGACATCGAGATAAAGCGTCCTTGTCAAGAAGCACACACACACACACAGACGCACAATTATGGCTTCTCTAGGGCTCAGGGTTTAGGGTTTCGGGTTTAGGGTTTAGGTTTCCCTTACATGAAATTCGGCGCTTCCCAAGGGTCCCGAGAGTAGAGCACAAGCGTGTGCTCGGCCTCCGAGTTGGGTGCTTATCGGCCTTTTTTGGTTTTAGGGTTTTTGGGTAGTACCATGCTATAATAATCATACTATGCTATAATAATACTATACTATAATAGTACTACGGTTCTTGGGGGCTTGTGCGTTTCGGTGACATGTAAGACAGCTGCAACTGTCAGTAGTGTCGGCCGGGCGAACTCTGGAGGTTTGGCTGCGCGAATTGCCATTAATGAACCCGTCCATGCAGCACTTGCATATGAAAAGCGCGACAAAGCGGTCGCCCTCGGCCATTGCAGGAGTGACGTGGCACAGAAAAGTTGTATCAACATTTGACATGAATTTTGTGGCAGCCCGTTGAACCTTCGCAAAGTCGTGGCTCAATGCGCTGCTGTTTGCTTCTTCCCACAGCCATGGGAAGGCGGCAAGCAGGTGAGCCGTCTGCTGTGCCTTTGCTGGGGCCTACACCCCCAATACTTTCGATATAACTGAATATTCCTATAGTTCATATTATATAGTCTCATTATACTATGATAGCAGAGAATCCTGCTTGTGCTCGGAGGTCATGTCAGATCGAGCTGGTAATGCGGTGCCGGCATCGTCCTGAGAACCTCACTGCCATGGTTGAGCCCAAAGCTGTGCAGATCAGTCGACAAAGTTGTGAGAGTTGTAGGCTTCAGAATCGGGGGCTCTTGAATATGAACCAGAGAGGGTATAGGATCCTTATGACAAGTTCGCAGAAGGCACCTCGAAACTTAAGAAGCCCCCGGTCTCAGCTCTCGCTGAGATCCTTCCTCGGCTTTCGGGCGACTGCTTCACTCGTGCACCACCCTTCCCAGCAAGCGGCTCAGCAGTAGCTCGCATCCTACTCTGCAGATTCCAAGCCAGAAAAATCCTCAACCCTAAAGCCTACGAAGGAAACCCTGAGCCCCAACCAGGTTCTTCCTGAGTCGGGCAGGGTGGTGCGGATCTCAAGACAAACAGCTGCCTTCGCAGAGCTTTTGCAGAACACGGTTCTGAAACGTTAGCTTCTGCAGGAATCACACGGACGTGAGCAGCGCTCCGTGCGCACTAAGGGATCGAAGGAATCGCGAAGCCTGCCGTGGATCGACAATGTCGCTTGCCAAGCTTGTGTAATGCACAGCCCAACAACAGTCGTGGTCTATCCCACTGGCTTGTCATTCGTGATCATGTTTTCGGAGATGGCACAGTGCACCGCAGCAGTTGTGATCAAGATTGCATTGCATGGAAGGCTGCGCTGCGCGACATTGCTTGAGAATACGAAGTTCTTTCGGCAGATGTTAGTGCAGTGCCAAAATGCAAAGCTGTACTGCAACAGGAGCACCAAGATCAGCTGTCTTGCCTCATCCACCGCACTTACTTGCCATTGCTATGATTTCTGAAAAACATCTTCACATCTTATTACTTTCACTATTACTACTACTGTGGGAAATGGAGACTGGTCTCGCATCCCATGGCTGGACCGCTCTGCCCATGGAAGAGGCCACTGTGATGAACTGTAAGCTGGAAGCCTGAGAAGGACGATCATCTGAGTCCAATATACACTACACAATATATAATAAGACATGCAGTATTATAGGCAATATTCTATAGATATATCTATAGTTATATACACAGACCTATCCTATATGTATATAAGATGTATATGTGTATACACATAGATATGTAAACATGTAACATCACGTGTAGTACTATATACATATGTATGTATGTATGTATACGTACCATGCGTATGTACATACAGACTTTCCATACATACATACATGCATGCATGCATGCATACACAAATACATACACACATACATACATACATACATACATACATACATACATACATACATACATGCGTGCATACACACTTGCATACACACGTACATGCATGCGTACATACGTACATGCAAATATACATATACATATACGCATATGCATATGCATACGCATACGCATGTGAATAGACACGCCATACGCATACACATGCACGCATACACACATACACACATACATACAGACATACACATACACAGACACACATACATACATATATACGTACATACAGTAACATTAAATATATAAATATATGTATGTCGCAACGAAGTCTTCAGCTAGCTATTGGGAACACTACACGGCCAAGGGCGCACAGGTCGCAGGGCCAAGGTTACAGAAGCGCAGTTCTTCAATTTGTTGTGCTCTTGAGCAGATGAGGCAACTCTGTCCGCCGTCCTTGTGCCTCGGCAATGTGATGCCGTTTCTTGTTTGCCGGAGCTTCGATGGAGCTGTGCTTCAAGTGAAAATGGTGCAGCCAAACTTCCCGGTGGATCAGGCAGTGCTGCCTCCATGGGCAACTGCAACCTTGGCCTTCGGCACCTTTGTCACGGACACTTTGGCTGAATGAGCAACTTCACCGGCTCCATTTCGACACTTGTGTAAGACGTGGCTGGCATAATACGTGGGGACCTTGTAGACAGCAAGGCACGCAGGGTGGCTGTGACTGCTTCTGCTTGAGGCCTTTGCCATTGTGGCCTCGACGCAGGCACTACCTTCGGACCGCGCTCTCCCTCCAATACTAGCAGCAATAATGCTTAATAATTCATGGAAATGTTGATCGTAATCACAACAACGAGAATGTTCATGATCATGGCAAGTTCATGTTTTTTTTCCGGCCGTATCGTGGACAGCGCAGACTCTGCCCCTTTGCCCGGTCTGCACTTGGAAAAGAGGCCCTCCCTAAAGCCTAAACCCTAAACCCTATTCCCTAAACCCTAAACCCTATTCCCTAAACCCTAAACCCTAAACCCCAAAAGGCCCTGCTGACCTGGGACACCATCCACTGGCCATGGTCTCGGGTGCTACAGCGCGGGAAAGGCGGGCTGCCTTCCTTGCGAGCTGGCGACTGAGATAGGCTTACTTGGAGGATCATGGGACAAAGGAACTAGGGTTCCAAAAAGGGAGCTATAACAGGATCTTAGGAGTACGTATCGGGATCATGGGACTTAGTAACTAGGGGTATAGTTAGGGTAACTATACTTATAATCCCAATTAAGGTACTTATAACCTTACTTACTAAGTCCCATGATCCTCCGGGTAGAGGTGTCGTGACACCGTGGTACGCAAGCTGAGACCGGATGTAGGATTCAGCCGAGGACCCGGCAACGGATGCCTATGGCAGACTGCAGCAGCTTGCCCGATTTTTTGATTTTTGTTGGAGCTGGACCATCATCGAACAGACTCAGCGCTTCGAACCATGGCTGCTTGAAGGAGCAATGACCTTCGCCGTCCCTTGGCTGATCTGTGCACTTCTCTTAAACACTGTATGTATCAGATCAGAGCACCTAAAACCGGACGCGCGAGGCCGCGAGAATTGCTTGCAGAAGAAGTTTCAGTCGCTCTTGGACCCCGCGCAAGTTAATGACCCTTGCCTGCAGAGAAATCACCGGTTGACTGTCAAGAGTGATATTTGATTTGCATCTTCTCGGAGCCCGCACCCCTTGTGCACTGTCAAGCTTTGAAGGAGAACGCCCCTTGGGCTGAGCATGCCGAGCAGTTGCGCACTCTTCTCCGAGGCCCTTCAAAGTGTTGTGGCAATCGGCAAGGATCGCTGTGATGTGGTTTCTACTGCCTTTGCAGGTGGATATCTCAGTCTGGACAGCATCACCACGAGCCGCTTGGAGCATGGACGTTTTGTTGCTCTTGCCTCTGCTTCGCTTCTTCAGAGCCACGGTCTGGGGGCTGCGCCTCGGACTTCAGTTCCAGGAGAGGGGATGCTGGATTTCTTTGCCAGCCATCGGGTCATGGCGCGCCAGGACGCTGGCCCCTTTGTGCTTCAATGGGCATGTTTTGACCAAGCTTCCATGCAGGAGTGCCTTTCCTGCTGCCTGGGTATTCGCATGACGGCATCCCGACAGCAACCTTAACAGTCTAAGCTTGGAGCCAGGCGTGATTTCTTCCGACTTGAGAGAGAAGACAGGTGCACTACAACTTGTTCTGTGGAACCATCCTCGCCCTCGGGAGCGAGGAGCAGAAAAGTGACTTGTCACAGACAGGAGACGATGCCCTTTTGGATGGAAATGTTGGCGGATTGACCTCTGAGGTTGGCTGAAAGATGCCCAGAGCGCGGGACTGCTGGGCTGCTTCATGCTGACGGAGACTGGCGCAGGTCCAGATGCTACTGTAGCATGAGAGCCAGTTTTGCAGGTCACTGGTCCTATAAACCCTAAACCCCTAAACCCCTACAACCCCTAAACCCCTGAACCCGAGACCCTGTATGAAGTGTTGCAGGTGTTCTCAGCGGACTGGTGGTGGAGACGGTGGCCACCTGGGTTTGGCATGACAACCAGGGACAAGGCCATACGAGCCAGGGCAGGGCGCAATGACTTCCTCCCACCTGCCCAAGGATAGTAGCTAGGGTTATAATTAGGGTAACATAACCCCAATTAAAGCGGATCATGGGATGTAGTAACTAGGGTCATAATTAGGGTAATATAACCCCAATTAAGGCACTTAGAACCTTACTTGCTAAGTTCCATGAACCTCCAAGTAAGACTGCCCTTTGCTCCTCAGGAGGCTTTGAGCTCCATACGCCAAGCACGTCGGCAGAGAAGACCTGGCCGTGTCCTCAGCAAAGTTCCCTTGGGGATCTCTTGGCTAGGTGCTATATTCTAGTACCCTTCTAGATCCCTTATAAGAACCCTCATATACCCCTTTAAAGGAACCCTTTTGAATTACCAAGGCCCCTAAAGTAGGCAACCGGCACTCCGGAGGATCTCGCAGGGCTTGGCTGCCGACTACGGCCTGGTCGTCGCTCAGCTCGTCATCGACCAGAGGCCCCCACCAGAAGAGCGGCCTTCGAGGAGTTTTCTTTATAGCGTAGCATTATTATAGTATAGTATTATTATAGTATAGTATTAGCATAGTACAATGTTAGTATAGTATAGTATCATTATATAGTATAGTATAGTATTATTATAGTATAGTATTATATCTTCCTGCCAGGTCACTGGGTGCCCACGTCTTCCTTGTAGAGCCTTGGTAATATGTCTTAAGGCCATGCGAGTTTTGTTTCAACACGAATCCCGGCTTAAGGACATGCGCTCCGAAGGAATCTCGCGGGAGTGCATGGGAGAGAAGACCACCTTCAACGCGCTTGACAATGCTCGAGTGCCGCTCAGCCAAAGCAGTCCAAGCCTCTGCCTCCCGTCCCGGCATCGTGCCGCCGTCGTCTTGCCCGTCGAGTTTTGAGTAGGGGTACGCAGGGCCCGTCCTTTTCCAAAAGTACTTTTCAACTCACTTCGCAACGCGAATTTGTGATTGGTGCTCTGGGGTCCCGTGAGACAGGACCGCCGCAACTCAACTGGAAACATGCACAGGGAACAGAGCCTGGGATCCTAACCAGGGGTGCTAAAGAGAGTGCTCAAAACCGCCCGAGTTTCAAGAGGTTGTCAAAGGGATCCTTCCTGCACTCAGGTCTTTTAATCACGTACAGCTGCCGGCGACAGCCCTGTTGTCAAGACTCTGCCATGTACAGCCCCACTTGAGCGGAAACAGCTGGCACGCTGAGTATGTCTTCGCAGGCCCCTTCAGCTGCTGGAAGTTCTGCACCTCTGTCGACACAGTTCAGCGGTGCACTGTCATTTCGTGTACCGGCAGGAAAACGGCCGCCGACATTTATTCAGATTGCACAGCGCTTGTTGTCCGGCCGTATGTGCATTTCCGACTCGGATGCTTGGTCTGCAGTTCTCATACGCATGCCTTTCTGTGAGTGCGGAGCGTGGTTCAGGGATGTGCATCTGAACAGTAAACGCAGAGACGTGGTGCATGGATGATGGAAGCTAGGTTGAGCCGAGGCGATCACTTACTTAGAGGGTGTCCTGGGCGTGACAAAGAAGTACGCCGAGGGTCGCCTGGTGTGGGTAGACAAGGCCGCGGGACTGAGGGCTGCGAGACTTACCTTTGATATTCTTTTTCTTATCCTTAATATTGTACTTCTTCTGATTATGGTTACGATTACTATTAGTATTATTAGTAGTACCATTACTAGTAGTATTACTATTACTAGTATTATGAATATTACTATTAGAATTATTATTGTTGTTGTTGCTGTTATTATTGAATTTTCCAACAGTGGGCTCGGCTCTCCGCTCGTCGAGGAGCGCAAGATGCCCTTGGCGGACCTGCCCTACATGGCGAAAGGCTTGGAGAGCGTTGAGGCCGCGGGCCCTTCGCAGAAACGGCGGAGACGCTTGTACTAGTAGTGATAATCATAACAATAATAGTAGCAATAATAGTAATATCAATAATAGCAATAGTAACAATAGTAATGATAGTAGTAATAGTAATAATATAACAATAATAGTAACAATAATAATAAGAATAATAATAGGAATAAAATACTACTAGTAGTCATGATCTTCACAGATGTGGAGATGGAGACGCTTGTAATATTTTGTTGGCAGGTTGGCCTCACGGTCCACAAGGTGACGAGTGGCGCTGTGTGCTTGTCTTTGACATGTGCTAGTCATTCGCAGTTGCTTTCCACCACAGCCCACCGAAGGAATAAGGGGCCCTCGCAGTTTGGACCCCCTTGTGACAGCTCGGTGTTTTGCAGTCTGAAATTCGGGACAGGCTCACTAAGCGACGATCAAGCTTGAGGTGAAGCATAAGACCATGCCTTCAGATTTCAAGAAGCAGATTCGGCGGTCAATGTCATTCCAATGCGGTGGGAGAGACCACTGATTCTCCGGTGCGCTCATGCAGTGTTGCCGGTGAGACTGATTGCCTTCGATCGTTGTTCCGGTGAGGCCTTCTTACTGCTCGTGCAAAGTGATTTTGCCCAGGCACGGGGTTCAAAAAGGCCGTTCAGGGTTGTAACCTACACCCTCAACCCTAAACCCGAAACCCCAAACCCTGCATGCTTAACCCAAAACCCCTAAACCCCGCACCACCCTAAACCCTCAACCCTTAACCTTCAACCCCACACGCCCTCAATCCTCAACCACTTTATGTCGTGAGGCTATCGAGTCCAACTCCGAGCTCTCGCGAGCACTGGTGACGCAGATCGCCGCCGCTAAGGCATAGGGTTGTAGGGCCTGGGGTCGTAGGGTTGTAGGGTTTGGGGTCCTAGGGTTTAGGGTTTGGGGTATAGGGTTCTGGGATTTTGGGATTTGGGCCATGACCCCTAAAGCCCCGGAAGAGGGACATCCTTACGGTGATCTCTGGCCCTGAAGGTCGAGGCAGTGGACTTTGCTATCAAGTCCCTTGCGCTGCTGCGGCGCGACGCGACTCGACCGGGGTTTCAGTTCATCGCGGCTCTTGGTACCGGAAGGGGTGCACTCGCCCGGGCCTGCGTCGCTTTCGAACGTGGCAGGTTGGATCCTTCGGGCTCATGGCATCCTCACCATTCGGGTCTAACAGCGATATTCTGCTCTGCTACCTGGCTCCTGTGTGCAGAGGAGTCCCAGTCTGATTGGATCGTTTGTGTCACCAGGCTGCCGCTTTGCAGAAGGCGACAGCCGGGTCTTGCAGCAGATGGTGACCCGTGACCTCGTGCGAGCACACTCGAGATTTTCGGCAGCTCGGCTTTGGAAAGAGGCTTCGAAGAGCAGGGTGAAGCTCAACATGACCGCAGCCTTGCTTTAAGATCCCTGCATGTGTACGTACACGATACAGACAACAAGCTGTCGAACACTTGTATAGCTTTACTCTGACTTTCCGCGAAGACACTTGCAGTGTGGCAGCTTAGAGGCAGTCCTTCGGCTTTTCTACAGGGTGCTGAAGGCCTGACTGCCGACTTTGCTCTGCCACCAGCATTCGCAGATGTGTCGTGCGGTGTGACCCTCTTCGATCTGCTGAAGTTCGTTTACAGCATATGTTCATACTTGGTAACCATTTACATATATATATATATATATATATATATATATATTATCACACATAATTTCATACACATACGTAAAAACACGAATACATACATAAATGCATAAGTACATAAGTACATACATACATAAATATGTACATGCATACACGTATATGCATACACATACACTTACATGCATATACTATCTTCGGCTCTTTCGTGCTTCAGGCCTGGCTGTCCGGGGCACCCCATGGCTCTGCCAAGCTCCGATACCTCCGGGACCAACGCCTACTGCAGGCGGATCCCTCAAAGTCCGTCTTCCTCAGATCATGTCTTTCCGTGCCGTCTCAAAGATCTTTGCTCCGTGTCAGCTTCTCTGCGTCCTGGGCAAGCAGCACTGGAAAATCCGTCGGCAGGGTGTCTCGAAGGCCCTGGGAAAGATGATTGACAAAGACATTCCTGCGCATGTCTTGCATTGAAGATGGTGGAGAGCTTCCCTTCGGTTTCAGACGCTTTCAGGCCCAAGCCGAGAGCGACGCCTGGCTCCAAGCTGGTGAGCTCGTTTACGACGTAGCGCTCCTTGACTGAAGTGTCGGGAGGATGCTCCAGAGACTTTTCGGGGGTGATTGCTTTCGCGATTCTTCGCTTTTCAGAGCTGTATGGGTCGGAAGTCGTCAGAGCCAGGATCCAGTTGGATTATAGGCTGGCAGTGCCTTGCCGGTAAGGAAGACGCACGCCCAGCAGCTCATCCACAGCACAGTGGAGGAGAGGTGTGGCAGGAGTGTCGAAACCGACCGCTTCATGGACATGCGCCTTGGCATTGCTGCTGCTTGTGCTGCGTGAGTGCAAAGTGGCAGTGAAGTACTGTGTGGGATGAGGTGCATCAGCGACTGTCGCTGGGCTGAGAAGACTGTGGCATCTGTTGCATGATCCATCAAAGTTGTTCCTTCAAATATACTAGATACTATACTATAGCATACTATGGCATACTATACTATACCTATACTATACCTGTGCCTGTACTATACCTATACTATACCTATACTATACCTATACTATACCTACCTATACTATACCTATACTATACCTATACTGTACTATACGATACTGTACTGTAAATTCAAGACGAGCAGGGGTCTCCCTGGTTGCTCCGCTGTGTTGGTACCGTGACTGCAGGTGAGGCTCGCCATGTTTATTGACCTCCTTGACAATGGGCACACTACTTTACAGTGACCGGGCGCCAGCAAGAGCACTGCGTAGCCCGGTCTTGAAAGAAACTAGCTCAAAGACAGGTCTTCCTCAGGTGCACAGGAGGGTCCAGCTGCCCTTGAGCTGTCACCCACACAAATACCGAATTCTTTTAAGAGCCCTAGCTCTAGCTCTAGATGTGGATCGTCGGAGAGAGCTGCCAGATTGAATCGGGCAGCTCGGGAGCGTTTCTGCTCAGACGGATCGCAACGGGGCTTCGAGCGCAACCGGCTTGCCAGCGTTCAGGGTCCCTAAAGCCAGGACTCTCGACATGCGGCCAGTGGCGGTGGTTGTTCGTGGTGTGATCGAGAAAAGGCTTCGCTCAAATCAGAACTGCGCAGAATGCTAGATGCTAGCCTCCTGTTGCAGTCGAACTTGCACCATCGGCTTGTGTCCACCAGACGCCGTACTAGGCAAGCAGGTTTCTGAATGGGAGCCCGGCGCACTGAGGCTGACACTGCTCCTCACTCAGCGCGTTCAGGAGCGCCCCGGTCATGGGAGATCATAACCCTAAGCCCTCAACAACCCTAAAACGTCATAGCGCGTCAATGCCTTGTTGGAGGACGCACCGAGACGAGCTCGGGCCTTGGAAAGCTGCTAGGTCTTAAGTCTTTCCATTGGGCTCTGACGGCTTTGTCTTTTCTTGACAAAGACTTCCTTCGTATGTTTGGCCCGGAGCCATTCTAGCTTTTGGCATGCTAAGTACCGGCTATATGCAGCGAGACTGCAGCTGTCCTGACACGCTAGGTCCTGCCAGTCGGTGGTAAAGTGCAGCCACCAGTTCACATCATCGTAGAAACCTGGCAGATTCTGCATACAGTAGTGGAAACTTCCGAACTGGACCAACACTCGCGTAGTCATGGGCGTGAAAGCATGATGATGCGCTGATGGCGAGCTTCCGCGCCCTCCTGCTGGCCTGCTGTGCTGTGGTCGGCTGCCAGGAGATCCGAGACCTGAGAGAGTACTTGTCTGTAGCGTCTTTGGAGAGTCGTAGCTGAAGGAGAAAGTGCGTGCCGTGATTTCCGTGGATCTCGCCAGGCTGTCCGATCGGTGACATGCATAGTGGCTGTGCCTGAGCTGTCCTGCCTTGCCACAGATTCTACTCCCGTGTCACGTTTGCGGCTCCAAAGACAGCACTTGCTGTTGCATATCTCTTGCACGAGCCCAATGTGCAGGCACCGCGGCCCTCTTTGGGGATTTTAACCAATGGCTCTGACCAAGCGCGGCTCTGTGTCGCCTTGCGGAGGTCTTGGCCCTGGCTTCTGGTTTCGGGCTTAGCCGGAACTGGCAGCTCGGCCAAAGAGGAAAGCAGCCTTCATGGCATTTCTTCCCGAGCCTCTTTGGGGCTAAGGCTGCCGAATGTGCATGGCTTGCATCTCAGGTACCAGCGACTTCTGCTGAAGCATCCCTGCACGGCAACTCGACCTTCAGGGCCCTAAACGCTGAAGTCCCAGACGCAAACCCCCACGCCCCAAATCACAGCTAGAATCATTCGCAGAGCTTGCATCCCGGAGTCATAGTCCTAAACCCTAAGGCTGCGGAGATGTTCCTGGCCGACCTCCAGCGACAAGACGTGCCTGTTGTGTCCTGGCAGCCTTCCGCCCGGGGGTTTAGGGGTTTAGGGTTTAGGGCCATGAGCATCCTGTCGCTGACGTGTTTTTGAGGTCTGTGGCTTGACATCAGGAACTTTTCTACAGCGCAGCACGGCTGATGATGTGCTCGACAAGCTGATGGCAGGCGAGGGAAGCACTAAGAGTGGCCATTTTGGGGTTTAGGGTTTAGGGGCCCATTGTACTATAATTACAACAAGGAGCCCCCAAAATAGTATAGCGAACATCAGGCGTTTTTTCTCCCAGGCTCGGGTGAGGAGCCTGCCACTTGGCTGGTGCTGGACTCGATGAGCCCTGGCTGCAACAGACGGAGCGGAGTCGTTTAGGCATGTGGCGAAGCATGTTTAAGACATCGCAATTGCATAGTGTACATATGTATATATATATATACATGTATATATATATATATAGATATACATGTACATATGCTATATGATCTAGACTGTATACTCTGTAAGATGCAAGATGTACATTATTCTGAGAGATTGCTTTCGGTTTTTGAAGCCAAGGACAGCAGCAGCTGCCGTGACACTGCCGTCGCTGAAAACTTCCAGAAGGCCACCCCCGCTTGGCGCTTCCGCCCTGCCTACATTATTTCTCGAATAAGGCCTTCTATATTGCGGTATCCTACATACTACTTGTGCACTGGTTGTCCTAGAACGATTATACCGTACATTATATGATGATTGTCTAACAATGATCAAAACCTACTGTGCGTTAATTCGGGGGGGCGACGTACCCTAAATAGTAGGATCCTTACTATAAGGACCCCAAAAGAAGGTACCCATCAAGCAGTACCCTAAACCCTAAACCCTAGGATCCTTCTTATTTGGGGGCCTTGGGGCCTTGGCGCAGGATCTCCGAGTTCGCCTTTGCTGGGCCGGGGCTCCGTTGGCTCGGGGCCGAATCCGGCAGCTTCCTGGGGGCTCCAGGCGTCCGCTGTGTAGGGTGCAATCCGTCTTTTGCGTTTAGGGGTGTATAAGGCCTTCAGGGTTTAGGGTTATACAAGGCCTTAAGGGTTTGGGTTTTTACGGCCTTAAGGATTTAGGATTTTAAGGCCGTCAGGACTGTTTGCCATGGAGCTGCTTGGAGGTTTGATGTTGCGCAGCTGGCAGGACTCCCTCAACGAGGCCCGAATCTCCATCTGCGACGGCTCCTGTCATCCTGTGCTCCCTTCGCCCTCCGTTCAGGTGACGCCTCGGTTGCGACTGGTCCGCGTTTCTGGGAACTCCACGCTTGACAAGGAGATTGGCAAATGTCGAGGCTTTTTGCTGACTTCCTCTGCTCTCAAGCCTCTACTAGTAGCTTAGTAGCTGTGATGTGACATGTGGAGGTTCCTGGATGGCGCATCACTATCGAAGAGGCCCGAACATGAAGATCTTGGAGTCTATTGACAGGTACGGGTATGCAGGCATGTGGATTGCATTGCAAGTCAGCTGCCCTGCTGGTCAGCCCCGTTCGTGTCGACCATCCAGCAGCAGATATCTCCAACGGCATCAAAGTTTGCCACGAGCAGCAATGCCATCGCAGCTAACGCCATCTTAGGCGGGGGCATGGAACAATCGCACGAGGGGGCTTCGTCTCGCATGGTTGTGTCTCAGGTTCGAGCCTGCTGGTTGCTTTTTGCTTGCTTTCCCCGAGGCTTGGTCAGCGTAATCTTCCCGCAGGCGGGGCAACCCTATGAGAGCTCCCGGGTGTATTTGGGGAAGGCAACCTCTCTTTGTGTTGCTGGGTTTTGGAGGATGACGATGCTCCGCTCCTCGCCGCCGCGCTGGTGGCAGAGGCTTCTGGGGACTGCGCGGCCGTGTCGCTGGAGGGGCAGACCCAGGCCACTGCGGAGCGCTCTCCGCTCTCTCTGCAAGATCAATATTTCCAAGCGACCGTCATGCAGAAAGACATGCCATGTGCGAGTCGGAAGGTTTCACCGGAAGTCTGCCGCCAAGAGAGAAGAGAGGCCAGCAGCATGCGTCTGAAAACTTATCCATGACGTATCCTGTCGCACACAGGATCCGCCTGACACAGTTTATGTCAAGCTGCAAGACGTGACTGCCGCTTGCTCAGTGAGCCTGTATGAGACCTCTTGTATGGTTTTATCTGGCCAAGCGGGTTTGTGTGGATGCCCAACATGATATTCCTGCTCGCCGAGGAGACAAGTCTTATGCGCGTCGTGAGCACTCTTTGCGATGTCGCTCCGTCCAAAGTGGCGGAAGAGCTTTGAGACGAAACGAACATCGCCACCGCAAGCAGAGCCCACAAATTCCTCCGAAGTCTCGTGCTCTCCGAGGATTCGGCGCGTCGCAGCGCAGCGTGGACAGCGACAGGCCCGGGCCGGGGGGAGCCCCTTTGGCTCCAGCTCTCGGAGGCTCCCGAATGTGTTGAAGGCGCAAGCCATCGTCGTCTCCGCCAACTTCGCCGTCTAGGCCAACTGTGACTGAACATGCTTCTATCGTATCGTATTTCGGTGACCTGCAGTGCTCCGGCATCATGATCGCAAGGTCGCAGCTGGCCCTCTGGGAGAGCCAAAACGACGAAGAGTTCTCTGAGGCTTCGGTTTGATGCAAGTTGCAGATTAGTCAGGCTCCGGTGGACAGACTGTCAGCGCGCGAGTCTGGTGCACTGATGTGGACTGCATCCACTGCAGTTCTCGTGGCTTGCTCCTACACATTGCTCGACATGGGGCATGCGATTGAGCAAGAACTCGGCCTACGACATATGCAGCCCGTTGATGCAGGCGCTGAAAGCGGTGAGACTCTGGTGGCAACCTGTTGAGGCCGACGCGCGGCATGATGTTTGCATGAAAGTGTAAGGAAACCCACGGTGCTTTCAGTGTCATCGGTCTTCTTCTTCTGGTCCGGGTGTTGGGCCTTTCTCACCACAGTGCTTTGCTTCAAGCATCCACGAAGGCGTCCATCCGAAGCCGTCGTGTGGATCTTTTGCAGGCGCAGATGGCGTAAGTTTGCATCAACTTGGAGCAGGGTTAGTTCCGTGGGGATTCGGGGCAAACCGCCGCAGGGCGCTCTCAAGGAGGCCCATGGCGAAAGCTACCTCAGGAGCCGTCTCACATCAGATCATGTCGATCTTCAGCTGCCGCGACTTGCCTCGAGGACGGTCTATGCAGTCAGGCGCAGTGCTAGCCAGAAGCTCTGTTTTTCTCGGAAGGAGCCCTCACCAGAAACTGGTCCTAAACCCCTAAATCCCTAAACCCCTAGGACCCTAAACCCTAAACCCCTAGAACCCTAAAACCCTAAACCCTAAACCCCTAAAGCCTTAAACCCTAAACCCCTAGAAAGATCACTCTCCAGGTCTGGATCCGGTCCACAGACACTCTGTTGAGACTCCTGTCTGCAAGAGGGACTACTATGGGTAGTTGTCAAAATTATGGCCCCTACGTGGGTACCCTAAATATAAGGTGCCATATTATAATAAGGACCCAAGAAGGGACCATAATTTTGACAACCACCCATATAGGGGCCTGTGGAATCATAGGAACCCTTGGGGCGGTAGGGGGGAGCGGGGGTAGCGGACTATACTTCCTTAAGCCTTATTAAGTCCTTATCATGGGTATCAAGGCCCCCTACCCCCCCCCCCGCCTCCTACCCTTCTAAGGATCCCTATGACATCTGTTTCGAGGGTTCCTCAAATAAGGTATAATATACCCCAAAACTTTAATCTAATCATGAAGGCCCCTCGACTATAGAACCCGACTGTAGATCCTCTATAGACCCCCTTTTAAAGGACCCTTAAAGGAACACTATCCTAACTATTAAGGCCCCAAGACGACCGCTGCGTCTCTGTCTGGGTTTTGGTCTCTTTGTACTCTGAGGATGGAGATGGCTGCTCGCCTGGCCAGAGCCCTAATACACTCACTATGTGTTTCAATTTAGAGTATGACAATCAACAACAGGTTTGCTTATGACCTATAGTATTGTGCATATGAGAAACAACATGTATTGTAGTTATTGTTTGTTGTTGGGTTGTTCACTGTTACGAGCTTGTTCAGCTTTGTCCGCAATCGCAGGTGAAGGCCAGAGCTGTGCTGGGCAAGTGGCAAGTCCGATTCCTGGTGTGGCCATAGTATCACATGACACAGTTTAAGTTTGATCCGATGTAGTTCCGAAGCTGTTGCTCCTACAGGCTGGCGTAGAGGAGATCAAGAAAGCGCACCGAGCGAGAGATGCTCCTCGGTCGAGCAGCCCGTGGTGAACATGCCACATGATTCGTTCTCCAAGTTAGGGTCCCTTTTGAGGTCCCCCAAATTGCACTTGCTGTAGTACTGCACCTTTGTTTAAAGAGATCCTCGAAGGGACCCTAATCTAGAGAACTACCCATATCAATCCACACCACGGTGTCTCGCTTCCCCTCCGATGAAGCTGCCTCCGCATCCTTTTCAAGGTGGCGGGGCTGGCTCAGGCCCTGTCCCGCTTCCAGCACTCGGCAGAGGATGCAGAGGTCGCTTTCGGGGAATCCTTGGCTCTGAGCAAAGGGGCGGACTTGCGAGAGGGCCAAACAATTCGTAAAAAACTCCGTCGTACATACCTACCTACCTACATACATACGCATACATAAAAATGTACATACCCCAAGACCCTCTTCTCATTACGACCTGTTTTGGCTCCAGCACTAGACATTTTTTGGGAAGAACTGTTTCTTCCCCTACATGTTCAGTGATTCCATCAACCGTTACGACCTCCAGCGGTGCTTGTGCCAGGTGTCTGGCGCTCGCCAGGACCTGGAGCGCTGGCGGCGGCTCGCACGGGGCTCGGCACCTCTTCTGGGCTCTTGCTAAGCGGTTTACGTTAAGTTACCCTGATTATTGAAGCGGTGACGGTAGAGTATTCAGAACTCTGCTACAAGGGTTAGATAATATCAGGGTTTCCATGACTGTTCTTTAGGGTGTCGGGTTTTCGGGTAAGGGATCCCGCGCCCGCGCGCACGAAAGAAAAATCAGAAGGGGACAAGAGATCAGAGCTGGGCCTAAGATTTGTTTTAGTTCTTTTTGGGGGGTTCAGGGCAATGGAACTTTGGAAGCCTTCGGATTGTGGTTCCCAGCCCTCCACTAGAGTGGAGGGAAGGTAGAACATAGGCTTGTAATCTAGTCCTGAATAAGGCAGAGGAGCTGCCGAAGCTGCTCAAGGACTGCGCTGGGGCATCGTTGCTGTTCGGATACCGAATGTCTGCTCAATTCGATGTCGGATGCTCTCAGCTTGCTTGCTTGCTCGGAGCTGCCACCCCCCAAACCCTGAAATCCCTAAAACTATGAAGCTCTAAACCCTAAACCGCGTCGCCCTCATTCTGGGTGCCGAGACTACAGGACGCTCTGGAGCGCCGCGACGTGCCAAAGCTGCGCGAGGCGGCCTGCGTTGCCGTGCGCTAGTCTTTGTGTCATTGCCTGCTGTAAAGGGTTATTGCAAGGGCTACTTTGACAACTAACATAAGACGGTTTTCTTTCAATGTACACCCCGGATTACTACATCCCTGTCTTCCAGGGCCGTAATGTTGGGATCCCCATCATAATCCTCATAGCACGCGTGTATCTATCACGTGTCTACACGACACGAATCGAGGATCCGATGCAACTGACACGTCCCCCCGGCTACCCAAAGTTTACTGTGGCCCGGCGGACGTTTCGCATTTGTACACACGGTAAGAGTGCTTCCTGGCTGCCTGCTGTCGACGGAAATTCTCGGAGATCTGCCAACGGATAGTGCATCCAGGAATAGTCGTGGGATTGGAACGGAGTGGTTCGAAGAGATCCACCTATGGATGCAAACTTGTCTTACCCTAAACCCTAAACCCTTATTGCTTCTGGGGGTGAGGAGGGAGAGATCGGCAACGCGATGATTTTGTGTAAGCAGAGAGGGTCTTAGTGCCGTCCACTTGTTCGTGGCCTCGGATTGGGATGCTGATAGATTGCAGATGCCCTTGTTACCCAGGCCATGAGCGACATGAGCAAAGACGGTCCGAAGAACATTGACGGTGCCGAGGAGGCCAAAAAGATGATCAAGAGGTGCCCTGGGGACTGCCATCTGCTCGATTATGGGGCATGCTGCTGCAGCTGCTGACCTCCCGCTATCCGAAACAGGCAGAGGCGTCCTCGGAGCCTTTCAAGTGCGTACTGTTGCACCAGGTACCAGATCCGAGCACGGGCATTGGACCACGCAGTCGGGGAAAGGAAGATCTCCTCTATCCAGGCAGCTTCAAGTAAGTGCTTTGGTCGGCTTCCTAGTCTTCCGACGAGCCACTGGTGTGACAGGCTGCATTGGCGACATGGGACTTCAGCCGCGACGATGTGCATGCTGTCAAGGTGCGCATCTCAAGATTCCCTGACTACATTGACCTGCATGTAATTACCATGCAGGCACGCCAGGCCATTGCCCGGCGTGATCAGCAGAAGCAGAAGTTGCAGGCTGCCGCTGGGGCACCTAGCACGGCCGGCATGCGGTCGCCGTGATACAGAAGGTCTGTTCACGTGCAGCTTGGGTGAAGTCTTAATTGAGTCGTAATCTTGTGGATGCAGCGAGATACGGTGAAGAGCCACTTGGGTGAATAAGGTCCTGCGCAAAGATGGTCCTCACTTGCAGCAGGCACAACGTCGCAGAATATTTTGGGTTGGGGTGCCCTGTGGCGCGAAGGCTTTATTATGATTGCTTAGTTCCCTTGCGATGTTTCGATGTTGATGCTACAGGTCTTCCAATGATCCTAGTCGTAGTCTCAGTTTACGAGTGCAAGGTATAAGAAATGAGTGCTGCGACTGCGGCAGAATTGAGAACTTGTCACGAAAGCCAACGGGGCTCCAGACTAGGAGCTTGCCGGTCATCCTTGAAGACGATCGGGGAATCTGGCATCTTCAACATTGCGCGAACGTCCAAAGCCCCTCTCCGTGGATCATGCTTCGTGCGATCGACCGTAATCGCCTATGCGTGGTCAGCAGGATTGTTTCTTATGCATCGAGGGAACTCGTCTTGTAAACGTAGAGGGGCTTTCATCCTTGCTTAGCGCAGGTCACTCAGGAGTGGGAGTTTGACCGTACTGACGAGGACTCAGCTGCCCCGCTCGGCGCTGATTCGTTCGAAAGCTGTAGACTTGCAGGACTACCAGCAGGCTATGGCGGCCTTGCGTCGCTACGACAAGCTGGTGGAAGATGTCGAGAGGCCACTCGTCGGTTCCGGAGGGTTTTCAAGCAAGTTCTTTGAAAAGTACTCATACTCGTCTGCTTATATCGGATCGAAGCGGCACTTCCGGCTCATCGGTCAAAGTGTCCGAGGCTCATGGGACCACCAATGGACATAGTTGCTCTGGCGTGCTGCTGCCACGATTGTTTCTGGCATACAGTGCGACGCAGAGTTTTGCTGCCTCAAGCAAACACACCAGAACACCCTTGTTAATGTGCGCTTGTCTGCAGCAGTGCTGTGCTCTTGGTGAAGGAAGCGCAGGGTCGAGCTAAGCAGGAATGTGCGCGAGATGGAGAAGTGGCAGTTCTTCTTCCTCCCATGTCGTTCTCCTGCTGCAAAACAGGAATGTGCTGGACAACTGGGAGTGGTCCAAAGGTGCCAGCTGCGGGCTTTGAAGCATGCAGCTGACATTTTCCACTTCGATTTTGAAGTCCACTAAACCCCAAACTCCAAAAATTCCTAAACCAACCCAAACCCTAAACCTTCCTCGTTGCTTCGGCCTGCGCAGATGACCCAGTCCACCTCGCTACCGAGAAGAAAATCGCAGAGCATGAAAATGCCGCGAGCTTTGACACAACTGCTCTACAGCGTCCATAAGGGTTCCTTATTGGGAGCTAGAGCTCAGGGTTTGTGGACTTGAGGTTTAGGGCTGAGGGTTCTTCAAGGGGTTCCTTTTCAGGGTACTACAAGTGGATACTAGTTGGAACTAGCCCGGCCTATTGAGGTGTAAAGCACCACGCACACGCCAAACTAGGACAACCTGTCCTGACCTAAGGTTTCAGCCCCTAACATCCCGCTGAGATACACAATGCAGGAAGAATCCTCAATCTCAATCCCTGAGCCGCAGAGCCAACTTCTACAAGGAGCCCCTTGCCGTTTAAGGTGTATGTCACCTAGAGATTGGGATAAACATATTGCACATATTGGTGTTGGGATGTTGGGGTTGGACCGGGGTTGGATCTGTTCTAGGGTCGGGGATTGGTGCCACGCACCTAAATAGGCAAGTCGAGCTCTAAGTCTCTAAGGGTACTTCAAGGTCAGCATAAGGGTGCTATACTGGTACGATGTAGGTACTACAGTTTTACGAGATCTCTTGAGCGCAAGCAGCTGGCCTTTCCGCGCTGAGGCGGCCCGCAATGCTCTGCAAGCCAAGGTGGGGGGGAATAACCCAAGACATGCCTACAAATCCTAAGACCCTAAAGCCCCTAAACCCCAAGACCCTAATGACTCCATAGCCCTACCCCTAAAACCCTAAACCCTCAAACACCGCTGACTCTAAAGCCCTACGCTGCAAACCCCAAGCCCTGAACCCTACACCCTATTTGAGCTTGGCAGTGTTTCCTTTCAGCAGTTCCGAAGGATGGCTGGAAATTGCAGCGCGTGCGGATCCCAGGATGGAAGCAGTCCCCAAGACGTTAGGGGTTTAGGCACAGGGGTTTCTAGGTGTTTTGTCAGGCCTCTTACTATAACATACGACAGATTACTTTACTATTCTACAGTATTTACTTGAATACACCATAACATGCTACGATACCCCCCTACTATAGTATACTATAGTTATAGTAACCTATAGTATACTATAGTACACTAGGGTGTTAGGGTGTACTGTAGGGCTTTCGCGGACCTGGGAAGCGTGCGCTGGCCGTCTGTCGACCAAGATCTGGCAGTTCAACGATGTCAAGAAGAAAGGAGATGGGCTTAGGGTTTAAGGTTTAAGGTTTAGGGTTTAGGAGTGTAGGGTTTAGGGTTTTAGGTTTGGGTTCAGGGTTTAGGAGCGTCGGGTTTGGGGGTCTGGGGTTTGGGGTTTACGGGTGCAGGGTGTCGGGGTTCAGGGTTTAGAGGTGGAGGGGTTTAGGGTGTAAGGGTTTAGTGGTTTATGGTTTAGGGTTTAGGGGTTTAGGGTTTAAGGGTTTAGGGTTTAAGGCTTGCGGCCGTAGGCCCTAGGCGTAAAGGGATGAGGGTCAAGGGTTAAGATGGGTTGGCGGTCCGACTAGACGCAGATGCAGTCGAAAGTTGTTGCACAGATGCAGCGCACTCGCTCTTGGAGTGTCTGTCTTTATACTATAGTATGTTTTAAGTGTTAGAATGTTATAGTATGTTGTAGTATAGTTCAGTAGTATATTTTAATAGTGCAGCACCAAGAACGGCAGCCAGGAGCAGCCCCTTCCGTGCTACAACAGCAGATGGCAGGGATCAAGTGGAAAGCAACGGCCCTGCTCTCGGCATGAGCCCTGGCCTTGCATGTCAGAGTCACGTAGCTTTGGGAGCAGGTGGCGAAGAACCGTTACAGAGAAGCGACGCACGCCCTGCGTTCTGAGCTCGGACAGCAGGAGAGGGGTGTGCAGCATCGTTGTGGGCTCGGGGCGCAACCACTTTGTTTGGCCTCTGTTGTCTTTATCTACATTTTCCATTTCCCTGCAGGAGACTTTGTCTACATATATATATATATATACATACATACATATATATATATATACACACACATATTTATACACACATATTAATCAATGTATTCCGTTATACTGTACTATTTTGGCCTCTTTTGCTCTGAGGCGAAGCGATCCGTGCAGCGGTGGAGGAAGCGGAATTCATGCGCACGGAGGCCCTGCAGGAGGCCCAGCGCCGAAGCGAACTCGCGCGAACCGGCGTCCTAAGTGGTTCTTTTTTGGGGTTTAGGGTTTAGTTTGGTAATTCCATAATAGCCTATGATTGACTAGAATATACTATAATAGAAACTGTACTGAAACGTACTACACTGTGACAGAAGATACTATAGCATGAATACACCAGCACCATAACAAAGGAAAGTATGCTAGAACGTCATATGCTATAATCTACTATAACATATACAGAGTCTCAGTTGCTGTCATGATCACCTGACTCCACATATTTCTCGGCAGGTCCAGGTTCCGGGAGATGAGGACGCTCTGCAGGCTCCGCAGGAGAACGTGCTCATGAGCCTGGCACGGCAGCGAACTTGGTGCAGTGATGAATGTATTCAAGAGTACGGTACGGTGTAGCATAGCATAGTATAGCATAATATAGTGAGTGCGCCATTGCTGCTTCTTCTTGCTTGGGCGGTGACCAAAGGTTCTCCACGACGGGCCTTCCACCCAAAGAATACGAGCTGCGGACGCTCGTGCCAAGCTCAGTGCTCGGGTGTGCTTCGGCCAACAGGTAGTGCCGTGGATCAAGTTAAGTACCTATATTACATTATTTTGGGGGTTCCTTCGAAAAGAAATGGGGTCATGCCTTTGCAGGTGGAAAACTGGCCCTTCAGTCTCGACGACCCCACTTTGCAGATGGCAGACGGCTCAGCTCAGCTGAATCGGTCCTCAGCTCAGGATTCAGCAGAGCTTTCTTGCGAGGCCTCTCACTGGGTGGCTTCCAGAGCTTTGCTGAAGGTGCGAAGTACAGAAGCAGTAGGGCCTCGATCAGATCTGCTTGATGATACTTGAAACGTGTGAACTGCCGGAACCTTGGTCTGGCTGTCAGACCTGCTCGCTCCGGTATCTGGACATCGCGCTCCACGGAGGGCACACGGTCAGCATCACGAAGGCCCGAGGCTTACAGGCTTGTAGTCTTCCAGCGTGTGGACAGCTAAACCCTTAACTTCCCTAAACCCCAAACCCTAAACCTAAAACCCTGAACCCTTAAATTCCCTAAACCTTAAACCCTAAACCCTTAATTTCCCTAAGCCTTATACCCCAAACCTTAAATCAATCACTTCATCTGCTGACCACCCTGTGTTTTCAGAGGCACTGGGCCGGGCATCTGCTGTGGCAGCCAGAGCCTCGCCAATCCGGCAGTGATCACATTACCGGTTTAGGGCTAGGGGTTTAGGGGTTAGGGTTTAGGGGTTTAGGGGTTAGGGGTTAGGGGTTTAGGGGTTGGGGTTTAGGGGTTTAGGTTTAGGTTTAGGGTTTAGGGGTTAGGGTTTAGGGGTTAGGGTTCAGGGCTTAGGGGTGATCAACCCGAAAACTCTAGTTGCTGGAGCTCTGTGTCCAAAACAGAGACGTGTTGCTGATTTCCCGAAGCCCGAAAGAGAGACATTTTGCTGGTGCCCGAGGTACCTCCTCGGATCTACCACAAGTTCATCAAGCTTCCTGAGAACATTGTGCGTGGCAAGGTGGCGACTGCATCGCTTGGTGCTAAGTATCAACTCCACGTGGACTGTAGGGCCTGTATTTGGGGTTGTTTTGTGGCTTCGGCTTGTCGTAGCAGAATCCCTACTTTATAAGTACCTTACTTGGGGTTGTAAGTAGTTACAAGTATCGTTACCCTAATTGTAACCCTACTTACTAAGTCCCATGACCCTTTAAGTAACCCTCAGACCCCTCTTACAGAACCCCTATAGATCCCATTTAAGCAGCCGTTTAAAGAACCTTATAGTTACTAAGTCCCATGATCCTTTAAGTACACCACATGCTCTTTTTCGATATTCCCCTGCAGGAGGAGTCCCTGATGCGAGAGGCCACGATGCAGGCCGTGGGTGCCATGAGTCTAGGTGCCTTGGTTGGATCCAGTGGATCGTTAATTTCAGAGCTTTTGTGGCTCTTTTCGCATGATGGGTCTCTAGAGGATGTGTGAAGGAGGAGTAAGATGGTGGAAGAGACTAACCCTTAAACCCCCAAACCCCCAAAGCCCGAAACGTCAAGCCCCAAACTGAAGCCCCTTCTGTTGCAACCGAGCACTTACTTCCGGACGCAAACACTTACGAAGCGAGATCCGAGGTGTGGAGCCGGATGACCTGATGATGGTCCGGGCCTTTAGGGTTTGGGGGTTTTTAGGTTAGGGTTTAGGGTTTGTGGTTTGGGGTTTGGTGGTTTGGGGTTTGGGGTTAGGGTTTAGGGCCTAGGGTTTGGGTTTGAGGTTTTGGGTTTGGGGTTTGGGGTTTAGGTAAATATGGGTCAATGGCGAACAGTTCGGATGTTCCATGTCATATACAGAACATCTTCACATGACACATCAAAGTCCATGTAACATACGTCTTATTATTGTACTTATGCTTCAAACAATAGGTTCACATACAGTGTATACATCATATTTTATGTTATATGCATTCTTCTTCGATTCTATATGTAATATTTCAGACATGGCATACGCTATGTTGTACATTCCATACGGTACATTACTAATTGCACATTACATGTTATACTTTCGATGTTAGAGGTCACTCGGCGTATGTTTTTGTGATAGACTAGATGTGGTATGTTGTATGGTATATATTGCGTGACCACACTTTTCTATGATTCATTACTTTCCTGAGTTGTTTGTATGCCAAGGCCTCCGCATTTGCGAAGGAGCTGGCGGACAAGGTAGATCTCGGCCAGTGTAGCTGGCCAACTGCTTGCTGCATGTCACCGCCATGCTTCCGTGAGATGCATTGACAGCTGAACGATGTTTGGCAACATGATGTAACAACATATTAGATGGTGCAGTATAAGATTCGATACAAAGCACGCACATATATACATATACAGATGGGTAGGTAGATGGATAGATGGAACCCGCAGGCCAGACTCGTCCGCATGGCAGTGTCCTGCGTCGAGGCAGGCTCCCACAGAGCTCCACTCACCCTGAAAACGCGAGCCATCAGACAGTCCCCACCCTTCGCTGTTTCGAGGCAGGTCGCATCCCCACCCTTCGTGCGGCCTCGAAACCTCCAAGGCCGGCACGATTTGATGGCGAGGTGTGACATCATGGCTGTGTTTCGACGAGTTGTGTTACTTTCCAGGGTGGTCCATGGCATCATGGAGACGATCTGTCATTGCGTCGCTGGTATTCACCCGGTTGTGCGTGACCCACCTCGGGACACTGGCTGGAGGAGCTCTTTTCACATACACTGAGGGGACAGCCTGCTTCTGCGTCTGACATCACTTGGTCACAAGACATTCCAAGAGCCACGCCAAGTCACAGAAGATTACTTCAGGGGCTGATTGTTTGTTTGCGCAGTGCTTCAGGACGTGCCAGCGGATGATGAACAATCCGAAGGTGCTGCGAGGGCCTCAATATATCTAGCGGGCGAGTACTGTGCCGCCCCTCTTGTCCGCTGCAGACCCGATCATCCTGTCTGCGAGCATTGCTTCCAAGGATTGAGAATCTCACTTCTCTTCCGGATTGGGTGGCATCCGGCAGAACCGTAAGCTTCTTACCGGGTGCCCGCGAGGGCATTCTGCGCACTCCATGTAGGTCGTTTGCCTTGTTGCGTTGTTTGCGTGAGATCCAAGGAGCCGATCGAAAGAGCCAAGGCTCACTGGGCCAAGGCATCCGACGACTTGAACAGTATATACACTTACACACAAGCCATGCCCTCCGCCGCTGCTTCCCCTACCCCATCGACCCCACCACATGGCAGAACGATCTGATTGGGGGCAGGTGCAGGCAGAAGTGGGGCGACAGCAGGACTGCACCGTGGAGGCACAGCTTACACGGAGTTGCAGCATCGAGACTTGTCAAGATGTCTGGTCGCAGGCAGTCCGCCGTCAAAGCATCTTGGCGGGACAGTTCCTGCTCTTCCTGGAACAGACATTCGCACGGGCCCTGGCTGCTCAGATCTGGTAGCGACTGTCTCCCTGAACAGTGGGAATCAAGAAGCAGCACCCTTGTGGCACAGGGGTTCTACGAGCTCCTAAGTTTGGCAAATGTTGCGCACTCAGCAACTTACAGCGGAGTTACGTTCGAAGGTTGTGCATAGATGTGCAGTACATGCAATCCACTTCTGTGGCTCGCTTAAGCTAATCATGCTGACAGGGAATGTAGTTTTCTGTCATGCGTGCTCGTTGCAAAATCTGATGCTTCCAGGCCAGCTGCCGTAGGCAATCTTAGAAGGAGCTTCCCTTTGCTGCGCCTCCAGGTTGCTCCGGAGAAGCGCCGAGGCAGCCAGAACATGCCAGAACAGGTTTCTATCTAATGCCCAAGTGAAAGTCGCCCATCTGCAGGTGCCCATGCAATTGCGAAAGATGCAGATGCACAGAGACTTTCTGACCTCCAGGCTCGGAAAGCAGATGAATATGGTATGCAATATGCATCTTGCATTGTATCTTAAATGTATATGAGAATATACTCTAGTATATTCTAGTCTGTTACAGTATAGTATCCAACATAGTATCGCATAGGGTAGTGTATAGTACACGGGTGTTCTTTAGTGCGCCGCTGCACTGTCAGCCGGATTATGGGACTTGGTCAACCGCCTTTTTGTCCTTACTTACTATTGTATACTTTATAATACACTGCAAGATACTGTAATATACTATCGTATAATACTACAAGAAACTCTAAGATACTAGATAAGGTACTATATAATCTACTATACCCAGCTGGCGTTTGCCGTTGTCTTTGCTGAGGGCTCCGGATGCATGACTGCAAGGAACGGCAGCCCTTTGCACAGTAGTACTTTCCTTTGCCTAGCATCGAGCGGCTTACTCCCATGTCCAGACAGGAGGGGCCTCACTTAAATGCACGGGCTCACGTGAACAACTGGTTCCTGCAAAGGCGTGTGTAATTCGGTACCCAAGTCTTCAGCATGCACAGCATGCACAGCATGCGTGTATGCATGTGGTGTGCAGAGGCATCTCCATTTACAGATATCTGTTCTGTTCATCCTGAAGGCATGCACGGAGACAGCAGTGTCGAGGTGAATCCAACTCTGGAACATTTGGAAGCTCTGCACAGGGCAGAAGCTGCACTAAACAGCACGACGGACATTTGCACTGCTTCATTGCTTCCTATATCGGCTTGATTATATCTGCGCAGGCAATCTTCGTCACACTTCGCGAAGAAGCTCACAGCAACCCAGAGCCCTGGCTAAACAACCCGTCGGTGAAATGCCGTCAGGCATGCCTGTGCATGCGTCTCAAATCTGAATTTGAAGGAGTTTGCTGGGCAGCCGCTCTGGTACTACGTCCTCACCAAAGCTCCCAGCCTAGTTTCGCAAAACATTGAAGATGGAATCTATTGCTGCTGGTTTCCCTTCCAACGGAGATATAGGGGCCAGGGACTCTGGGGGGGGGGGGGGGGGGGGTGTGTGAGCAAAACCGGGTCTATTTGGAAGCTCCTTCTTACGTCTTTAATAAGGGGAATGTACACTTAAATGTAATTACGAAAAGAAGAAAGCATCTTCCAAATAGACCTGGTCGGTCTTGTCCCAGAGACCAGGGGGAAAATGAAAAAATCAAAAAAATCAAAAACATCCAGGGTGCTCCCACAGATAGGATCAAGCGCTCCAGGCCGGAGACCCTCAGGGGAGGGTTTAGGGAAGAAAAAAAAACCAGGGTGCTCCCACAGAGAGGATCAAGCGCTCCAGGCCGGAGACCCTCAGGGGATGGGCGCAACGGCCAGGCATCGCCTCCCCGGGACCTGGGGATCCAGGATTTTTTTGATTTGATTGAATTTTTTGATTTTTTTGATTTTTTTGCCTTTTTGAAAAAATTCAAAAAAATCAAAAAAGTTTTTTTGAGTTTTTTGATTTTTTTGCCTTTTTCAAAAAACTCAAAAAAATGAAAAAAATCAAACAAATCAAAAAAATCCAGGGTGCTCCCACAGGGAGGATCAAGCGCTTCAGGCCGGAGACCCTCAGGGGAGGGGCGCAACGGCCAGGCATCGCCTCCCAGGGACCTGGGGATCCAGGATTTTTTTGATTTTTTTGAATTTTTTGAGTTTTTTGATTTTTTTGCCTTTTTGAAAAAATTCAAAAAAATCAAAAAAGTTTTTTTGAGTTTTTTGATTTTTTTGCCTTTTTCAAACAACTCAAAAAAATGAAAAAAATCAAAAAAATCCAGGGTGCTCCCACAGAGAGGATCAAGCGCTCCAGGCCGGAGACCCTCAGGGGATGGGCGCAACGGCCAGGCATCGCCTCCCCGGGACCGGGGGATCCAGGATTTTTTTGATTTTTTTGAATTTTTTGATTTTTTTATTTTTTTGCCTTTTTGAAAAAATTCAAAAAAATCAAAAAAGTTTTTTTGAGTTTTTTGATTTTTTTGCCTTTTTCAAAAAACTCAAAAAAATGAAAGAAATGAAAAAAATCAAAAAAATCCAGGGTGCTCCCACAGAGAGGATCAAGCGCTCCAGGCCGGAGACCCTCAGGGGAGGGGCGCAACGGCCAGGCATCGCCTCCCCGGGACCGGGGGATCCAGGATTTTTTTGATTTTTTTTGAATTTGTTGATTTTTTTGATTTTTTTGCCTTTTTGAAAAAATTCAAAAAAATCAAAAAAGTTTTTTTGAGTTTTTTGATTTTTTTTGCCTTTTTCAAAAAACTCAAAAAAATGAAAAAAAATCAAAAAACTCAAAAAAATCCAGGGTGCTCCCACAGGGAGGATCAAGCGCTCCAGGCCGGAGACCCTCAGGGGAGGGGCGCAACGGCCAGGCATCGCCTCCCCTGGACCTGGGGATCCAGGATTTTTTTGATTTTTTTGATTTTTTTGAATTTTTTGAGTTTTTTGATTTTTTTGCCTTTTTGAAAAAATTCAAAAAAATCAAAAAAGTTTTTTTGAGTTTTTTGATTTTTTTGCCTTTTTCAAACAACTCAAAAAAATGAAAAAAATCAAAAAAATCCAGGGTGCTCCCACAGAGAGGATCAAGCGCTCCAGGCCGGAGACCCTCAGGGGATGGGCGCAACGGCCAGGCATCGCCTCCCCGGGACCGGGGGATCCAGGATTTTTTTGATTTTTTTCAATTTTTTGATTTTTTGATTTTTTTGCCTTTTTGAAAAAATTCAAAAAAATCAAAAAGTTTTTTTGAGTTTTTTGATTTTTGTGCCTTTTTCAAAAAACTCAAAAAAATGAAAAAAATGAAAAAAATCAAAAAAATCCAGTGTGCTCCCACAGGGAGGATCAAGCGCTCCAGGCCGGAGACCCTCAGGGGAGGGGCGCAACGGCCAGGCATCGCCTCCCAGGGACCGGGAGATCCAGGATTTTTTTGATTTTTTTGAATTTTTTGAGTTTTTTGATTTTTTTGCCTTTTTGAAAAAATTCAAAAAAATCAAAAAAGTTTTTTTGAGTTGTTTGATTTTTTTGCCTTTTTCAAAAAACTCCAAAAAATAAAAAAAATCAAAAAACTCAAAAAAATCCGGGGTGCTCCCACAGAGAGGATCAAGCGCTCCAGGCCGGAGACCCTCAGGGGAGGGGCGCAACGGCCAGGCATCGCCTCCCAGGGACCCGGGGATCCAGGATTTTTTTGATTTTTTTAGTTTTTTGCTCTTACCAATACTATTACTAGTACTGTTACTCTTACAACTACTATTACTATTACTATTACTATTACTATTACTGATACTATTACTATTACTATTACTATTACTATTGCTAGTACTGCTACTACTATTACTATTACTATTACTATTACTATTACTATTACTATTACTATTACTATTACTGTTACTGTTATTGTTACTATTGCTATTACTATTACATTTACTATTGCTATTACTATTACTATTACTATTACTATTACTATTACTATTACTATTACTATTACTATTACTATTTCTCTTACTCTTACTATTGCTATTGCTATTACTATTACTATTACTATTACTATTACTATTACTATTACTATTACTCTTACTCTTGCTATTGCTGTTGCTATTGCTTTTGCTGTTGCTATTGCTATTCCTATTCCTATTCCTATTACTATTATTATTACTATTACTATTACTATTACTATTACTATTACTATTATTATTACTATTACTAGTACTAGTACTATTACTATCACTATCACTATTACTATTACTATTACTATTACTATTACTATTACTATTACTATTACTATTACTATTACTATTATTATTACTATTATTATTACTATTACTATTACTATTACTATTACTATTACTATTACTATTACTATTACTATTACTATTACTATTACTATTATTATTACTATTATTATTACTATTACTATTACTATTACTATTTTTATTACTATTACGATTACTAATACTATTACTATTACTGTTATTATCATTATTATTATTATTATTACTATTACTATTACTATTACTATTACTATTATTATTACTATTACTATTACTATTATTATTATTATTACTATTACTATTACTATTACTATTACTATTACTATTACTATTATTATTATTATTACTATTTCTATTACTATTACTATTACTATTACTATTAGTATTACTATTACTATTACTATTACTAGTACTAGTACTAGTACTATTAATATGACTATTACTATGATTATGACTATTACTATTATTATTATTGTTCTAACTATGAATATTATACTACTAGTGCTAGTAGTATTACTACCATTGCTATTACTTTTACTATGACTATCATTGTTATTGTTATTATCACTATTATTCTTATTCTGACCCTTACCGTTATGATACTGTTACTACTATTATTGCTGTTGCGGTTATTACTATTGCTATTACGATATTACACTTTCTATCACTACTACTAGTACTATTACTAGTACTCTTACGATTATTATCTCTATCACGATTACTATTATTGTTTCTATAACCAGTACTCTACTTGTACGAGTACTATTACTGTCACCATTACTTTTATCATTATTCTTACTACTTTTGCTATTACTATTACTACTGCTATTACTATTACCATTTCTATGACTGTTACTCTTGCTTTTACTATTAGTAAAATTGCTACTGCTACTGCTGCTATTACTATGATTATTACCATTACTGTTATTGCTACTGCTACTCCTCATCTTACTATGACTACTACTACTTACACTACTACTTGCACGACTACTTCTACTACTACGACAACTGCTACAATGACCACTACCACTGCCACTACGAACACGTCTACCACTACCACTACCACTACCATTACCGCGACCGCTGCCGCTACCACTACCACTGCCACTACCATAACCACTGCCACTACCACTACTACTACTGCCCCTACGATGACTAATGTTACTATTGCTATTACTACTTTCACTATTGTCACTATTAGCACCACTACCGCCACCACCACCACTACTACTACCATCACTACTACTCCTACCATTACCACTACGACTATTAGTACTACTACTTCACTAGC